CTAAGGAGAAACTTCCTGACAGTGAGAACAATTAACCAGTGGAACAACCTGCCTCCAGAAGCGGTGAATGCTCCAACACTGGAAGTTTTTAAGAAGAGACTGGACAGCCATTTGTCCGAAATGGTATAGGGTTTCCTGCCTGAGCAGGGGGTTGGACTAGATGACCTTCAAGGTCCCTTCCAACTTTACTATTATTATATTATTATTATTATTATTATTATTATTATTATCTCACTTAGCAACAGAAATTTTGGGCTCAGTCGAGGACTACCTGTATTACACATTACTTATCCAGTTTAAAAATAATCTAACAGTGTTAAAAAAAAACCACATGCTTTGTGTTGGAAAATATGTATGGATATCTGAAAATATATGGCCATAAGTTTGCTTATTTTTATTTTACATATAAAATACTGTTATACCGTTTAAAAACTTGAGAATCTTTTGAACTGACGACATTATTTCCTATTATTGTCAGTTTCAGTTTTTCTTCTGCACATTTATTAGTTTAAAACTATAAAAAAACTAAACTAAAGCATACTAATGAAAATCATTCATGAATAATCATATAGTCCCACAAATGCTTGGGCACAATTCTTCAGCAAAAGCAGAAATCTGAGACTGACCTTAGTAGCAATTTATTCAGTTAACCGAGGTAGTATTATTTTAGGTGGAAAGGTGAAAATAGTTTACTTTTCTTAAAAAGACAATTCTAATCTAGGGTATTTTTCTATTAAATACGATGGAAGCTATCAATGCATTTTTTAAAAAGAGTTTATCTACTAATATATTATTAGATAATATTATTTTATATCAAGGATAATGTACCATTAATGTGCATAGAATGTATATCTTGAAAAGGCATGTAAGGAAATTTAAAAACTAGCCCCAGTATTTTATTTTTCATAATGGAGCCTCAATTTGGAAAGAAATAATGTTTCTTCCTCTTTTTTTTAAAGGGTGGTTTGCAGCAGATATAATAGCAAGTAGAGAATAATGCTGCCAAGGATACATTTCTAGATGCCATAAAATAGGAATGTCAAAATCTCAGAGGATTAAATGTTGTAATGAAAGCTTTGATAAAACTGAACAATAAATAAAAAAGAAAAACAAAGAAATTGTATAATGTTAAATCATTGCATGGATAAACTTTGCATCAAAAATTACTAGTACCACTTATGTCAGTTGCCAGCACTTTATACCTCCATGTAGTATTGTTCGTTTCAATACAGAAATATTATTAGAAGAATAAAATAATCTCCTCACTGAACCATTTGGGAGCCTTCTTAAAAGACTCCCTTCTAATGTGCCATGATAATTCAAAGTACTCAATAAACTTTACAGCTTCTATACTGAATCCTATGCCTTAAAATAGGGATAGGAAAATAGTGGCTCCCATATAGCTGAATTACAAGTTTCAGCCTCCTTCACTAGAGGCAATGTTGATAGGGAAGCAAGAGGATAACAACAATGGAAAGGCTACAGGGTTCTTATCCCCAAGCCAAGTAAAATCCTAGATTTGAAACCCATGATGGACAAGCATAGAGATGCATGTATTACTTTAGACAACTAGGGATGGATGTCATTTATGCCTGGTCTCATGAGTTCTTCTAGATTCAGGACAGTGGAAGGCACTGAAAAGCTAGTATAAAATGTTCTGTAGGATTGTTCATGTATCTGTAGTTATCCTAATTAATTACTGAGTGATTGTCATTATATTTACCTCTCTCTTCCCACATGACCATCTGGAATTTCTTCTGAATATTTCTATCATTTACTTTAAAGGTGAATCCTGTTTATACAGTTTAGCTAGAGTTATCAGTGCAATGATATAATTACTATTCAAAATAAGCTATCCAGAGTTTATGTGGGTTTATAACCATATTTTTCTTAGCTTTTTTTTTTTGCTGGTAGCACAGGATAAATTTCCACATTTCATCTACTTTTTCACATAAACCAGAAATTAGAATTCAAGATGAGGCCTTCAAGAGGTAGCATTTGCAATAAGGTAAATTTGAAGCAGACTTATGCCAGTTTCAAGAATTTCCCCCCACTTTTATTTACTGATGACACAAAAGTTTCCTTCTCCTTCTCCTCCTTCTCCCTCCTCTTCTTTTTGAATAAAACTTGAGTCTTTTGGCTTTCTTTACCCATTTGAAGAACTAGCCAGCCAGCCAAGTTGTTACCTAATAGCTGAATTCTGAGCCCTTCTTCTAAAGAGAGGCAGTTCTGTGCAGACAGATATATTGGTTTATCATATTATTTATATAGACACAGGAAAATATATGTTCAAACAATTTGCTTAGACCCCCTTATTGAAGAAATTCAGAAAAATATGACAAATGCCAAAAGAAGAAAATTGTATTTTTGATAGTCTGTTTAGTTAGCTGCTATATATAAACAACATATCCATCATTAATGTTTAATCCTTTAATTCATTAAAATACAAGGATGCATGAACAATATAAAAATCCCGAATCTCTTTTATATCATGTAAACTAAAAATTCACTGATAAATATCCACATAAAAGGCAGGAAACCAAATGAGACATAATGAACTGCTGTCATAAAATCTCTTCTTTTGTGACTTTTATTCACTCCCAAATCTTTGGAAGAGTAGAGTTTATCTTTAGCTTAGAGGAGTATTTGAGCTACATATGGTGAATGAGTACTTGCTATAGCAGCCAGCAGTGGCAAGTCATTGGATTCAATCCTAGAAATGAAAATGAGAAAGTGTTAATATTTAAGCTACATAAGTTATTTAAGCATTCTATACATATTCACCTTCTTGAACATTATGAGTGTTTTTTCTTTAAAAAATTACGTTTATATTTTTATTGATCTGGGATCGTAAATATAAAGAAGATATTCACATTTAAATGTTCTAAAGCGGGGAACTCCAACTCCCGGTCCACGGTCTGTTGGGAACCAGGCCACACAAGTGGCTGGTGTGCAAAACCATCCCCTCCCCCTCCGTCCCTGCCGCTGCTGGTCTGTGGAGCTGGAAAGGTTGGGGACCACTGTTCTAAGGCTTTTCAAATTATATCTCTGTACCAGTAATAGAGTAGAGAACACATACTGGGGAAGAAGTCAAATTGACCCATTAAACCAAGAACAGACATCTTGCAGCCCACTCCCAGACCACTGATTCTGTTTATGATTCTGTTGCCAAATTGTTGTTTTTAAAGTGCTTAGGAATTAAACACACAGGAAGCGATCACAATAATTGTATTCAATTAACTTATTATTAAAAGTCTAACTAAATTAAAAATAAATCAAGTTTAGGATTTATGTACGGAGGAAGACTTCATGCTGATGATAGAAAATATTGTTGATGTGGCCCGATACTGGGCTAATATCATTTAGTTTTAACCCTATTTATATTACATACTTTTTACACATGCTTTTATAATCTATTTTATATCTATTTTATTTTCTCAACATTGAAGATTATATATCTACAATTTGACAGTGTTTCTGACATGAATAAAGCATTTATACTGGCACCACTCACTTTTTTATGGGGGGTGGTGGAGGTGGCCTTTTGGGATACTATATAAAGGTCAAGTAAATATTGGGCTTCCAAGTAAGGACTGATGGCAGGTTAAGCATTCCTATGGGAAATGCCATAAGTGGGAACGGCATTGTGGTCGAATTGCCAGGCAGGTTCTGGTGGACAAAAATCTCTTCAGAGGAAGGAGAGATCATTGGAACAATCTATTTGTACTCTGAAAGAGCTGCTCCGGGTGAGGAGACCACAGGAATTCAGCTGCTTATGGTCCATAGCAAGTTGAGCAGCTTGGGAGTCGAGGGATTTACAATGTGTTCTTAAGTGCTGTGCAGCCTCAATAGAATTTGACTGGCAAAAGTCTTTCTTAACCACTTTTAAACTTAATTACTTGATAACCTAAGAAAAATATTCCAAACAGCAGTGAAGATCAAAGATACATGGTGAATGTATTTTTTTTAGATTTGAAGAAAGGGAAAAAAAATATTTTAAATAATTGTAACTTAAAAGCAAAAAACTTAGCAAAACTGGGATGCATTTTTTTTAAAGAGATAAAGGGGACGGTGTAACCCCCCCACAAAAGAAATAACTTTTTGTGGTGAAAATGCTTTTGAAAATAGCAATAGCAATTAACTTAACAGACTGGACCTTTGTGGGAATGCCGATAGGTTATTAAGGACAGTACGTCCTCAATTTATGACCACAATTGGAACCAGAGTTTTGGTTATTGAACAAAGCGGTCATTAAATGAGACAGCCACATGACCGCTTTACTAAATGACTGCAAGAGTCGTTAAGGAGGCAGAGTAAAAGAGCTGCCTGCTAAAAGAGGGAAGGCAGCTTTCTTCTGTGTGCAGAAGGACCTCTTCTGGTGGGCTGCAGAAATGAAGCTCAGATTTTTGGGATTCAAGCTTTGTTTCTGCAGCCCCCTGGAGAGGTATCCCTTGCCTGTGTGTGGAAAGGAACATGCGCACTGGGCTGGAGAAACAAAACTCAGCTCTTCACAATCCCTGCTCCATTTCTGCAAGAACTGCAGGAATTCCTCTCCTCTCCTCTTCATCTGCAGCAGGAAATTCAAGTGCTGGGCTGGGAAAAAACAAGCAGGGTTCCTGAAAATCTGAGTGTCAGACTGGCCACAGTTCACTCCCTAGGAAAGAATGACCCTTGACTTCATAGATGTTGCAGAAAAGGTACTTTTACTAGAGATACTGAGTGCAGCGTGAGGCAAGCTCCAAAGAAAAACCACGCAAAAAGGGGCATCACATATAATGAAAGCAATCACCAACGTCCAAAGCCCTCCCCCCTGGCCAGAGTAGCCCAATACAGTCCTGGCCCGATGTTTTGTGAACCTGGTGCCTCAGGTGCCGCAGCAAACTCCTTTCCCAGGGCTGGCATCCTTAAGGGCAGGCAGATGGCTCGGTTTGGCACCTCTGGTTCCTGTTAGTGTCCATACTCCCCAAATTCTCACAGCATTCTTTCACGCCTCCAGCGCTCTGCCCGTTCCAAATGTCCCCTCTCCCCTGGTTATGGCAGTTGCTAACAAGCTTCAAAGAAAGCGAAGTCAGGCATCTGACACTGAGCTTCTTTTCTGTAGCCTGACAAAGGATTTCTGCTACCACCACCCTCAATACGTGGAGGGGAAGGAAAATTCTTTGGCAGGTGGCAGCAGCTTGCAATCTTCCCTGCCAGAAGGGAAACCTGAAGATCAATTCTTGATCCTCTATTGCACTGAAAATATTGTTAGTAACCATGATTAAAATTATTCCTCTAAGATGGTCTTAGGACAATGAAAAGAACATCCTGCCCTTTTAATTATTCAGAAATAAAAATGCAGCAATTATTACTTCAGTCAGAAATATAATGCTATCTGATGAATATTACACTACACCTACATCTCCTGACATGCTTAAAACAAGATTTCCTGATCTTAAAGACAGAAATAATTAAAATTGATACATTTCCCCTTCTCGATCCATTTTTTAATTTATATATTTTAATTGGTTATACCTATTGCCTTGCATGAACAGTATTGATCAATTACAAATGAAGTAATGGGACCCTCCAGTGGTCATGAGCTTTCAGATTAATAGTCTGTGATCTAATTATTTGTTTTTTTGATGTTTTGTCAGCAATTGTGCTGGCATCTTCAGAGGTGAAAGTCACCTGTTCTGTAGTGGACTTGTTGGCAATTCACAGGCAACTCCTTCCTCAATTCAATATTGACAGAGTGATCTACATATGAGAGAGTCCTTGAGAGCATCTGCCTTTTAAAACTTCATTTTATTCAGAAAGTAAAGGAGGACCAGAAATTTCATTTAATATAACAGCCCAGTTTGATTTCCAGATGGTCAATGCAACTTATACAGATATATAACCTAACCTTAGGTTTTAACTTTAGCAGTACTCACCCCAATACCACTCCAAGCTCTTTCACATGAACTCTTGTTTGTCCTCGCAAATATTTAGATAGCATTGTGCTTTTATGGTACATTTCCTGTAGGCGATCCTCAAGGTGCATTATACACTGTAAATGGAACGGGAAACCCAGAGATAAAATCAAATAGTTTATAATAAAGTCTGCAACTTATAAATATAAAAATACTTTGTTGAGGCCACACTAAAGTTCAGTATTTTATTGATTTAGAGGAACAAGCTTCTAATGAAGCCAAGACTAATCAAGCACTGCCTAAGCATCCTAAGAATATGACCACTCACATGCTCCATCATGTGAGGGCTCCTTCTTTTCAATCTTGTCATTTAATGGGACCGAGGAATGATTGCCCCATTCTCTAGAATGATCTCTCCCCTGTTCTCCCCACACACACACACATACAACAGGCCCCAATACTTCTAGTCTTTAGGGAAGTCATTAAGATCTAGTTCTTCCCCCAAGCATTCAGGGCCAATTGAATGAGAGTCCCTCCTTTTGGTTGTTCTGTTATGTGCTTGTCACCATTTTATCTTTATATACTGTAATGGCTTATTGTTACATAGTGGGTTTTTTCTTTTTGATCTATTGTTTTTTTTATGCTTTATGCTATCCAGAGTCACATTGTTATGAATGTATGTGTATGTTTGTATTTAGGACAATATTCAGTGGCTGAAACTATTTTCCTTTCATTTGGTAGCTCATAAGATATAAAAGATGTGGCCACCACAGGGCTAATGTCAGAAAAGTTCCTGAAGAACAGTTATCAGTTCTTCAACAATTGCCAAGGTGAACCTTTAGATTAACATAATGAACATGTAGGAAAAGAAAGCATTAGTCACCACAGTGCCTCATCTAAGTCTGAAAATCAGTGCAGAAATACATGCAGTTCAAAAACCTGGAGCACATCTTATCTTTTCTCTTTATCTATATTTATTGTACACGCACGTTTGTAAATGAGTACTTACAAAGTCAGCAGAAAGATTAAGCTTGTAAAGTTGTAAAACAGACTGCAATAAAGATGATACTAGGCTGGAGACAAGGACATCTTTGCCTAGTTTTATACTGTCAGTCATCTTTTTCTGGCTAGTAGCCACCTGAACTGTCCATTTATCAGCATCTGCTATAATGTAAACAGCTTCTGCTATAGATTCATCTAGTACAGGATGCTGTAAAACACACATAACAAAACAAAGTGAAGCAAGACATTTTATTTATGTATTGTTAAAAAAATTATATAGCTGCCATTATGTCAAAATCTGGAGGCTCCTGTTTTCAGAAAAAATGCCTGTATTAAGGGTCATTTTGAATTCAAACTTAAGAATAAAACCTACATTCTATCTAGCATAATAGAAGAAATATTTGGCAGCCTGTAAATATACTTAATTAGTCAGCTGTTATCTACTGTTTCTGGAAAGAATGTGCTCATAGCCAAATGAAGTGATAAGCTTGAGAGTAATTTATTCAATGATAAACCTCTATCGCCTAATAATAGATTAATATAGAAATATGCTTTTAAAATTAGATTATTTTTTCAGATATATTTTGTGCTAGAAGGTTTGTTTCAGTGCACAGATTAGATGCAGATATGAACAGATTCCGTTTAATTACACAGGGCTGGAAATCTACATGGATATGTAGTGATTTCTGGACAGTACAGAGAGGGTAAATGCAGAACATACAGCTACACAGATTAGAAAGAGGCGCAACTGAAAGCATGCTTTCTAGGCAAAAAGGAATTTTTCATTTTCTAGCTGCTCCAATTAGAAAAGTGAGGGATAGGAAGCCAGCTACATTGCCACAAACCAGTCACGACAACATTAGCCTAAATTAATATACACTTTGACTTCAAATAATTCACATTCTGATTCACTTAAACTAAATCTCAATTAATTTTAGTTAGACTAAACTGCAAACTTTAAAAAGCAGGTTTGGATTATAAAGGGAATCAGTGGTGCCTTTCTTCACTTGATCCAGTTCAATGTACTTCTAGGCGCAGAGAAAGTTGTTCCAAAAAGTTTGGAATCAAGGAGTTTCTTGATACTTTCCTAGAGAATTTTGTACAGAGATGCATTCTGCATTATAACTCTTAATATGACCGAATTAATATATTATCACTTAATATGACTGAAAGGCAAGGCAGACATGCTACATCTTCTAGGAGAATTCCTCCTCCAAATTAAATTTTGGAATCTGAAAGAAGTTGATCTTCATTATTTGTTGCCAGTTATAAGGCAGATACCTTTGCAAGGTCACAAAGAAGGGCCTGAAGGCAAGTGACTTTACTAGTTTGTTTCCAGCCTAAAAATATTCTTTCTTTCTCAGAGATGAAGATTTTATTTTGACTATAATTGATAAAAGTAACTTGCAGACCTATTCTATATCAGGTGGTTGAATAATGTAATCAATATTTTATTTATTCATTCCTGAAATTTATAGACTGCTCAATACATCACAATTCTGGTGGATTACAAAATAAAATGACACAAACAATATACGTACATTTAGTAGACCATAAACAGAGTGGATCTGAAATCTACTCTAACCCAAGGTCTGAAGGAACAGCCAGGCTTTAAGAAAACATTTAAATAAGGTCAGGATGAGAGCCATAAAAATCTCATGAGAAATGATGTTCCATAGTCATGGCAGAGTTGGCACCCGGAGCATGCCAACTATGTCAGAAGGTATGGCATGGATAAGAACTATTGACGAAAGGCAGTCCTTCAAAAAACAAGGCTTATGCCACGAAGGACTTTAAGGTGATAATCAGCACCTTGAATTTTGTTAATTGAATTGAACCAGTGCACTTCAAAAATCAGAGGTGTTACATGAGCATACCATGGTATAGTTATAAGTGCCTATGCTTGCTGCATTCCAAACTGCCGCAGCTTCTGTGTGATCTTTAAGCCTTATGTAGAGTGAATTATAAGATTAACTATAAGATTTACAATTATAATGAAATGACTGCAAGAAAACAAGCAAGCTGAGAGAGCACCAAGGACTCTTGAATCGTAAGAGCCCAATTATGATGTAATCAGAATGTAAGTATTCTTCTATCTACAAATAGCAAAAATTACAATTAATGTTACTAATGAAACAAAACTAGTAAGTTTTCCCTTCATGTTCTAAACATTACTCTTAAAGCTTTCCATAGAAATGGACAGACTTACATTTATGGCGTGATTCAACTCAGCTGATAAATGTTGCTTAAGTTGTTCATCAGAACTTATTCCATGCAGCACTAGATCAGGCATATAAGAGGTACAATAGCCCCCCAAAAGTGACCTTCCAAAATGTATCATGCTTTGAGTACTAACTGTGCAAAATCTGAAAATCAAGAATTTACTGTTTACTGAAAACATCTCAGGGTCCTACAAAAAATAATCAGTATGTGCAGTTATACTGGCAAGACTGTAACATGATCTGAATGGATGACATTATGATCTGCTTTGTTTTTCAAGGTTACAGCTCAAGAATGGTGAAGAAATACCATTCACTCTGATATATAAACTTCTATATTACTGAATCTTTCTCACAGAAAACTGAACACAATTGAATAGAATTCTAATGACTTAAACAATGTCTCCAAAGTTCAGTCAGATCCAGCCTACATGGATCACTGTAACAGTATGTGTATATACAACAGTAAGTAATTCCATTATATAATTAGATTTAATCATAGAAGTAAATTCAAAGATATGTATCTTTCATGTGAGAACACGGTTACTTGCTAATTACCTGAAAGGTTCATCCTTTACTATCTTCTTTTCAGAAGAAACTAATGATTAAACAAATTTCACACAATGCATAATGCATCCCATTACAATTACATATTTTAAAATATACCTCAGTTTCTGAGTTAGTAACAGTACAATTTCTCTATCTATCTTCAGAGCCTGTTAAACAGGCCATAAATCCAGGAAATGTATCCTCATTTTTATAGTAAAAAATTTTAACGATCATTTGAGACTATTAACAAAAAATGGAAAAATGTAATATAAAAACATGTACTTGAAACATATTTAGGAAAGGTTATGTCTTATCAATGTAGTGAAACACTCCCCCCCATATACACATATATGAACATGCACAATTATAAACATACAGAATAAACTTATATTAGTATTTTTTTGGGGTCAAACAAATTACATTCAGACAGCAAATTTTATACATGGTATATAGGTAGTCCTCGATTTATAACAGTTCATTTAGTGACCACTTGAAGTTACAACGGCTCTAAAAAAATTATGTATGACCGTTTTTCACATTTATGATCACTGCAGCATCCCCAAGGTCATGTGATCAAAATTCAGATGCTTGGCAAACTGACTAATATTTATGACGGTTGCAGTGTCCCGGAGTCATGTGATCACCTTTTGTGACCTTCTGACAAGCAAAGTCAATGGGGAAGCCAGATTCGCTTAACAACCATGTTACTAACTTAACAGTTGCAGTGATTCACTTAACAACCATGGCAAGAAAGTAAATACAATGGGGCCAAACTCACTTAAAAATGTCTCAATTTACAACTAAAATTTGGGGCTCAATTGTGGTCATACATTGAGGACTACCTGTAATAATAAATTAAAACAATTTTTAAAATTACTTAATAAATATTATTTTAATAACAAAAACAAGTAATCCTGAGTGCATATCGGTAAACTATATATACTTCCTAATAATTTGATGTGAGGATCATTACATTGGCTTGCAAAGCCTTTCCAGATTGGGCTGATTATGATGAGCGTCCTTGGGGTAAAACTGAGTTTTGGTTACACTACAGCCTACTAGTCAAAATGTACTAAACTGACTAATACTGGTCTTACCATTATGTGGAAGGGCTGCATGTGGCATAGACAAAGAAGACTGGTCTACACTTTCAGTTACTACAAAGTATTTTGTGATAACCTCAATGACCAAAGCCATGACGTTGATACCAATAACATCTGGTGAATTTCATTGCATTTGGAAGAATGGATCGTGAAAAATTAGTAACATATGGGAATTAACAAATGAAATGCAAGAAGGAAAAACAAGTATAAATTTTCATGTAGTGTATGGGAATAAAATAAAATTTAATGAAAAAGAATTAAGGTAGAACTTGAGTAATAGAGTTGATAAATACATGAAGGGAAAAGATGGTGTAGATTTAATTGTATATGAAAAATTTAAATGTATGTCAGAAAACATAAATGGACATTCTGGCCATCATAGGTAGGTATGAAAATAGGAAATCATAGATAACCTTGCTGAAATAAGTGCAAATAACTATGTATAGGAGTGAACTCTGCTTACTCTGTTATGAGGCAGTGATGGTTAGATGTCAGGAGAAACATAAGTCAGTTGAATGTAGAGAGAAAAGGGTACCTAGACAATGTGTGTGATAATAAAAGAGATAGTCAAGAATACTTGGGAGCTAAATGTATGTGGATCAAACATAAAAGTGAGTGATCAGTAAAAAAAAAAGGATGTTGATCTGTTTTGGACATATACTATAGATGGAATGAACATATGAACAAATATATGAAAGAAAACTAAATGTGTCAAGAGGAAACAGAAAGAAGTGAATAACTGGATAAAGAAAAGGCAATGTTTTAATCTGTATAAGGACTTACTGAAAGTAAAGACACAGAATATGGTGAATTATATTAGTATAAAACAGTCTCAGCAATATTATTTTATTTTTGTTCCTGTCTTTGATTTCTTTGGCTTACTAATTGTTCCTTCTTTTTTGCACTTGATACAAACGTTTCTTCTCCAGAAAGGAAATAACAGGATGGAGCAGCATGTATGTAAAAGTAACAATAATAAGCATACAGCTTCTCATGTTATTAACATTGGTATATATTAAAAACTGTTAGTATGTTACTCAAGTAAATACACCTTTCCACAGCTTAAGATTGAAGTTTAAGATTCCATTGTTCTGGCTAAGAATCAGTTGAAGATGATAAAAAAAACAGGTTACATCTTATTACCCATGCATCTCAAAACGGTGCAAGAAACAAAAACTAAAACAGCCCTCAGAGGTTCTGGTTATTATTTTTTTCTTTACCTTGGCAAAGCAAGTTCCACTTCTAAAAATTCTTCAGGTCTACAGTTAACAACAGTGATTGACTGCTCGTCTGGAATGTACATGCAACCTTCATCATCACTGTCCCCAAGAGCGCTATCAGAACTTTCGTTTCTAGGAATGTTCTCCTCCGTTCTACAATGGAATTTGCTTTCGACATCCCCACAGGGGATTTTCTTGGTAACTGCTTGGCCAGACCTCTGTACATCAGTAGAACCTCCTGAATCATAGTCAAGAGAATTTCTCTCAAAGTTTTCACAGCTTGTATTATAAACTTGATCTGGTTTTCCCAGGTTTACCATTCTGTCAAGAATGACAGATTGTGGAACTGACAGCAGCCAAGGTGCCCCTGACATTTGTGTTTCACTAACTTTCTGGCTAGTGCAGGTTTTAAGACAGAAGTCAGATTTCTCTTGTGAGACCCTAGATGTTATATGTAATGGACTTGATAGAGTACATAGAGATTTAGTTTTACTTCTGCGTTTCTCCAGAGTTTTGTTTATTTCCATTCTTTGGGTTTCAGAATCAGATTCTGGTGAGGTGGAGCTTCCAATTTGGAAGGTAACTTTCTCCAGTTGAGAATACACCTGGGCAATCTTCTTGGAATGTGGAACAGCTGTCAGGTTTTGAAAAAACTGCCCTGTAACACTGTGCTGCTTGTCCTCGTTCATTCTTGCAGTTAAATCCTCTAATAAACCATGCCTTCCACATGCAGTTTCTGAATTAACTGAAGTTTTCCCTTTCTTAATTTCCCCTACAATTCCTTTTGGGGAGCTAACTCTGGAGAAGCAAGGGGATGCTTCAGAACTGCACTTGGCATTCAGCCTCTCATGCTTGCCCTTGAAGCAGGCAGATTCAAAGCAGCGTTCATGTTCTGCAGCAACATCAGCACCACCACCACCATTCTTTCGAGGCAGGACAGGAGGTACAAGAGCAGGTTCATTTTGAACTGTGACAACTACATAATCAGATTCTTCAACTTCTCCCTTTTCTAGAGTCTTTATGATTTTCCTTCCATTCACAGCTTGCTCTCCTTTGCCAAGCTGCCCATTCCAGAACAGATGATTCTCTTGCAACTCAGAGCACCGTAAGAAATAAGTAAGGACATAGAGAATGCGCTGAACAAAATCCTTACGTTTTCCAACAATTACTGTCCTTGCCATTCTGACTGGTGAACCTACAGCACCATATAAATCACCTAAATAAACACAGTGAGCAAAGAAAAAATAATTATTAATTAAAAAATTAATATACATCAAAGGCCAAGGCCAAATATCTAATCTATTTGTTTAACCTAACTATAGAAAGAACAAAATCATTAAGATATTATTACTTCATCTTAAATGATAAACCACACCTCAGTAAAATGATCCACTTTAGTAACTCAATTTTATTATATTTATTTCAGTAGAGGAAGATTAACACTCAACTGAATTTAATTTTCTAAAAGTACTTTTTGTCAAATTATGCAAAGAACTGCATATCTCACAGTTATGGCAACAAGATGAGACAGCTAAAATCAATTGTCAGCAAAGCTATTATGGTAGCAATTTCTAACTGCTACTAAAACATAATCTTCTGATTTAAATACTAATAGCATATCTGTGAAATTGAGTTCTGGAAGATCTGAACAAGTTTATCTAGAAATGTTGAAGATGAAATATATTTGATATCCATTTACTTTAGATAATTTATGATCAAGCTACATAATTTTAGACTATTTACAGAAAAAAGCTGAAGTCTTGTCAGGTATAGTGATTGGATGTTCCACTGTTTAATTTTTGCACAGAAACATCCTTTTATTCTACTTTTATAAGTATAAAAATTAAATGCCTAGTCCAGATTGGGAGAGGGGTAATTAAATAATGTGACTTCCATTTAGGATCCAGAATGATCTAATGTATGTCACAATGCTTTTACTGGGCTCTGAGATAAATTATTAATACAAATCATGGCACTTATGTGATTCAGATTATGTCTCTCATGAAAATATGTTTTTTGCATTTATGTTTCATTAATAAGGATGTCAAAAGAGAATTAAACCCAATTTTGTAGTGTGCAAGCTATTTAGTAACCACTAAAGAGCATGCATCATGATAGCAACAATCTGACTCACAAGACAAACCTACTTTTATAATTTTCTAATTGGAAGGAACAAGCCATTATATTTGATACTAGATATTTGAATTTTGTTTACAAAAAAAAAAGTCTGGAAAAGTGATTTATAATTGTTCAGTGGATTTCTGAATGATCTTCTGGAATATCACTCATAATAATCACTTATTACAGGTACATGCATTATCTACTTTAAAGGCATTTATTTATTTATTATTAAATTTATTGGCCTTCCATCTTACCACAGGGTAACTCTTGATTATCAAACCAAAAAGACAATCTTTCAATTAAGAAATTGATTAAAAGCCCTGAATGTATGTTTGCATGTTTTTATGGCTGATTCTATTTATTTTTAATGTTGCCTTCTGTCATGAACATTTCATGGATTTCTAACTGCGGAAAATCCCACAGGATTTGGTGCCATTACAAATTAAAATAAATCAACATTTGTGCATATGAGCACATTTCTGTCTGGGAAAAGAAATCTTCCATGCCTAAAGAGTCATCTTGATTTTAGATATAAAGTTTTGTACTGACCAAGTTGTGCCCAAAGTGGATTGTACGGATGTGATTTTGCCAGCATGTTCACAGATGGTGAGGCATGTTTCTCAGAGAAAACACTGATGGAGAGATGATCAACTGGCATCACAGTAGGGACCCAGGCCAAGTGATAGGTTAACACTGCTGTTAACAGAGCAGCAAAAAACCTATAAAAATAAGAAGCAGAAACAAAATTATATCTCTGCAATAAACCACCCGTTCAAACTAGAGGAGTAACACAAAACAATATTACTCACTGGTTTTTGCTGCTCTGTTCTATCAAAATAGCAAATTCCTTGAGAAAGTGTTGGCATAACAGGTCCTTTTCTGAAGCACAGGCCATCATAGTAAGCCACATAGGTTCTGCAATCCTTGGAACTGTGTATAAATTCCATATTGTAGTTCTACCAAAAGAAAAGGATCTTGTTAGCTTAAACAAGAGGACATGGTTCAAATATAAAAGTATTTTGCCTGCTGTTCTTCCTCTTGATCTATTCACTCTTCCTTTGTATATGTATTTTGCAATGTATCATCATTCATTCTCTCTGTATAACCAAAACACCTCAATATACTTCTTTCATACCAGCCACTCACTTTTCAAGATTTATATTTACCGGTATGTCTTAATTTGACTGAAGCTTGACATTCTTGCCAAATGAATGACATTCTTGTCAAATTCTTGCTTTTCTTTCAACTCTAGTAGCTTCCCACATTATACAAGATATATATTTTGTGCTCAGCAGGGTAGAGACCCAGATTGATCTAGTGGTTTTGGAGCTCTAGCAATGCAAGTTTGAATGCTCTATCTACCACAAAAAGCAGTTGCATAATGGAAAAAATAGGCAGTGCTGTGGATATTGCACAGTGCTCCTGAAGAAAATGTGGCATATAAATTGTTAAGGGTAATTAGTGACCTGTGACCCACTGGATCATAGTTTCAGAGACATTTTCTTGGCAAATTCCTCAACACTGGCAGAGTTTCTAATATACTGCCTTTGCTGCAAAAGTTTATAAAAATTCAGGGAGATATTCAGAGAAGTATCTCCCTGGAAAATAGCCCACATTAAACTATATAGCATGGTCAAAAATCAGGAATTGACCATAAGAAATGTTTTATGAAAGTTTGTATTGTGTGATGAAATGTTTTATGATAATATTTAGGTCATAAAACATTGTATAAAATTTGCCTGGATTTTGGACACATACTGTAAGTTATCCATTTGAGGAACTTTGATTCAAAAATTGTTTCTTTATAATGCACCATTTTGCCCAGTTAAAAGTTACCCACACACAAACAGGAGAGTTTTAGTAGTATATAGATTTGTATTAAAAACTAGCTGTACCTGGCCATGCGTTGCTGTGGCTCAGTCTGGTTAAATGGAAAAGAAAGAGTTTTTACCTGTCACAAGTGTGACATCTATATAATAGTAGGTATATAAAAACACGCACATATTCAAATGCAACGTTGTGTCAAAATTTCAAAGCAATCGGTGAAGAGCTTTCGGAGATTTAAGATTTTGAACAAACGAACATTTACGGTACATTTTTATTTATATAGATTACATTTACACTAGTAACAATTAATACAATGGAAAAAAAATAAAAAATTAGAATGTGCAGAAAATAAAAAACAGAAAAAAGAAAAAAGAATACAGTAAAGAAAAAGAAATATAAAAAGTGACCTTTCTCCTTCATTACAAGTATAAACAATTTTAATAACTTATCACCTTCTCTTTAAATACAGCAAATGATCTTTTCTTCCCATGTCCCATCTATGATCTATAAATAAATCCTTAAAACCTCGTTTTAGTCCTGATCATCTAAAGACCATTAAAGATTACCAAAGAGAATAACATATCTACTTAAATCTTGATTAAATAATCCAATTTTATATTCCTTCCTTTTACTTCTAATTATCTTGATCTTTAGTTCCTTAAAACTATTTATTTAAATATGTCCTAGAACTTGGTTTTTCACTTTTTCTCTGTCCCGTCTCACAAAGAAGAGGGAGTCAAGCTATTCTCCAAGGCGCCTGAAGGCAGGACGAGAAGCAATGGGTGGAAACTGATCAAGGAGAGAAGCAACTTAGAACTAAGGAGAAACTTCCTGACAGTTAGAACAATTAACCAATGGAACAACCTGCTTCCAGAAGCGGTGAATGCTCCAACACTGGAAGTTTTTAAGAAGAGACTGGACAGCCATTTGTCTGAAATGGTGTAGGGTTCCTGCCTGAGCAGGGGGTTGGACTCGATGACCTCCAAGGTCCCTTCCAACTTTATTATTATTATTATTATTATTATTATTATTATTATTATTATTATTATTATTATTATTATTATTATTATTATTATTATTATTAATTATTATTATTAATTATTATTATTAATTATTATTATTATTATTAAATGCTTCAAAATTTCTAACAAGCCTCTTTTGGAAATTCAATGTACAAAAATTATCCAGGTCATTATCTTGGTTTGTTATTTATATATCCCTTTTAATTATAAAAAACATCAGTCACTGCACTGCAACATTTTTTTACATGTCATTCTTATGCACTGCAACATTTTTTTACATGTCATTCTTATAGCTTGACATTTTCAAATCAGTTTCGATCTTGTCAGGTAAAATTTGTTCCTCTTCCACAATATCTTTTAATCAAAGTCTTATCTCAGACACTCTTAAAGTTAACTTCTGGATCCACTATTCACAAATATTCTTCAATATTCTTCACTCTGTAATTGTAAATTGAGTTTGAATGTTCTCCTTTAATTGTAATTTTTAATTCTCTCTAGTTTCCAATTTTTATCTTTAATTTTTTTAAAAATCAAAACAAAAACATTTTCCTATGGAAAGGATACTTTATAATTAATTCCAAAATCTTATTTCAAATTTATCTGAAATCTTAGTCCATTTGTAACTTTCTAAAATCAAAATCACTATTTTGTTTTTTATCCCAATTTTTTTAACTTGTGAAAACTTGCAGTTAAAACTTCTTTCATTAAAGATTGAAGAAAACTCATTGTCAAACTTGTTGATCCAAAGGTTCCTAACAGCTAAAAAGCAGTTAAAAAGCAATTTCTGAAAGTGACTAGAAAAGTATGCAAATTTAATGTCTTTTCAAAGGTGAAGACCACAGTTTGAGCTACCGTAGATGGCTATTTTCCTTGACTCCCAGAGCACTAACTCCACTGGAGACTGCGGTCTTGCGGAAGCAGCTGTCTGGAACACTGTGAACTCAAGTCCTCTCCTTGTCTGGAGAAGAATTATCAAAGACCCAGTCTACTTGCAAGCTCTTCATTCAACTGCAGTCATCAGCTCTGCTTTTCATTTTCAATCCATCATTTGTTTCCTGAAAGTTTCAGGAACATATCTGTGGAGATTCTCAGTCATCCAAGTCATAGTTATCTCAAAGGTGCTTTTTTTCTTCAAAAAGAAATTGGACTGGATTGTTTTTTCCTTGGGGAAGAAGAAAAAAATGTTTCGCTTCTCATCCAAGAAGCTTCATCATCACCCCCCCCCCCCATCAGAACTGACAAAGCTTCTTGGGTGAGAAGCTAAATGTTTTCTTCTTTGTCCTCAAGAAAAAAAAACAGTCCAGTTGCCTTTTGAAGAAAAAAGCACCTTTGAGATTTCAGGAAGGTGGCATATAAATCTAACCAGCAGTGTGATAACTTGAAAAGTTACAATTACCCAGCTGCAAGTTACTATTATTAAACATGCTACTGAAGAATTCCTAATCAACTATTTAGTCACAAATACTACTGGGCTCTATTTTATACAACTGTGTACTATTTATTTCTGGGACCATAATGGCCTAACCAATGGCTTAGAGCATGCATCTTGGGAAATTCTGGAAGGTGAAGTCCACACATCCTAAAGTTGCCAAATTTGAAAAACAATGGCTTAAAATACCGTATATAAAGTAAAAAAAATGTTGACAGTGATCCCCTGACACTGAAGCATTTATCATAGTATAAATACATAATGGAGATACTTATTATAACCAACCAACCAACCAACATATATTTAAAGAACAGCAGCTTTAAATCTTACTTTAAAAAATTCTATCCAATAAAAATAGGAGCATCTGACAGACTCTAAAAAAGCTAAACAGAATTGGACCTCACTAATACCTGGATGGGAAACCATTACAAAATCCCAGGTATATTGGTAAGTAATACTCAAAAGTGGCAATGGCAAACGACTTCTGTACTGCCACAAAGTAAACGGCATGGAAATATCCATGAAGTTATGAGGGTTGAAGTCAACAAGGCAGATTGTTTTTTTAAAAAAACTATTCTATCCTGATATATTATAAAGTTATGGATACTCTGCTATAGGTAAAGGCAGTGGCATGCTGATATTTAATAATCAGTTCTGGTAATTCCATTGCTACTGTACCATTTGTTGCCAAAAAAATATATTGCATGCTAGATATTGGGGGTCAGCTTTGCTTTTAATGCCTAAAACTTTAACAATCAGCTCTCATAAGCCAATACTCCAGAATACCACTGAATAAAAGATTATGTTTCTGAACTGCAGGTATATGTTGTGTGTGTTTCAGGAACAAAAATGACATCACCATCCCATAAATCACTATCCACAAATGATCTTTTGCCTCTTTCAGAAAGTAATGTTGCATATAAGATCATTTCTAGCATAAGTTAGCCTGAAGGATTTGAAGAAAAAGAGAAGGGGGAGGTCAACAAATAAAAGAAGGAATTCTCTATTTATTATCAACTTATTACAGAAATCAAGTTTGAAATATTTTCATCCTTAGTACCTGCACTGTGAATGTTTAGTTTCAAGTGAAGGAGATTCAAACAATCTTCATTAAAATCTACACAAATATATAGTTAGTCCTCGACTTACAACAGTTCATTTAGTGACTGTTTGAAGTTATAACAGCATTAAAAAAAATGACATGACCATTTTTCACATTTATGAATGTTACAGCATCCCCAGGGTCATGTGATCAAAATTCAGACTCTTGGCAGCTGGCATGTATTTATGACGATGGCAGCATCCCGGGGTCATGTGATCATCTTTTGTGACCTTTTGACAAGCAAAGTCAATGGGGAGTCCTGATTCACTTTACAACCATGTTACTAAGTTAACAACTGCAGTGATTCACTTAACAACTGTGGCAAGAAAGGCCATAAAATGGAGCAAAATTCATTTAACAACTGTCTCGCTTAGCAACAGAAATTTTGGTTTCAATTGTGGTCATAAGTCGAGAACTATCTATAGATTAGTGCAAGGACAAGAGTAAAAAAAAGAACAGGATCTGAGTTGTGAAATAGATTAATCTTAAGAACAGATACGTATCTTGTCCATCCCAATAAAATTTGATGTAACAATAACTCACCTAAATTCATCCAGTGCATCCATAATACGGCTAATGTAAACTTGCACTCTTTGGTTTGTTTCTGTTATTTTTCTACATGTAATCATAGCCTTAGGGGGAAAAATAAGAATGGGTTAAAAATAAATGCAAAGGTGGTTCTTTCTGGATGTCTATTGAGACATCAAACCTGAGATACAAGTTTTTACACTTTCTTCCTTCTGGTATTTGCCTACAAAGAAAAGAATTCTAGAGCAGGTGCGTGCAACCTAAACCTTCAGCTAAAATGATTTTTTTAAAAAATTCTAGAGCTCTTTTGAAGCAGAAAGTATCCAAAACTACAGAAGTAGGCTACCCCCCCCAAATGAAAACAAAACTAGAAAATTTCAGCCCCACCCACAAGTATGATACAGGCTCAACTAATCTGCATCGTTCCCTTAACCCTCTCAGTACAGCCCTTAGAACCTTCCCCTCCCGTAAAAAAGAAAAAGAAAAAAGAAAAAAAAAGGCAAGTAAAACATTTGCCACCTAAAAGTGGACAGTCAGGTAGATGCATTGAAAAGTCTGTTCAGGAAGCACTACCACAAGTCATGCACTCAAATAAAAAGGCTTTAAATAAACCTAAGTGGAAGGGAACACAATAGGACTTATTTAAAAATGAGGAGGAATGCTGGGTACAAATTAAACCTCCTTCAGATTTATCACCGATATATTGTATCAAAGCACAGGATAGGGGTATGTCACCAGCCCAGCCCACTGTCCTATTTTTTAATGGCTACAGGTACAATGCACCCATCTAGAACAAATGTTTTGTAAAGCTATAAATTTCTAATCTAGAAATTTGCTTGCATAGGAAACATATTGAGGGAAATGCATGTACAGTTAATTCTACATGCAAACCCTTCTGTCAGTTATTTGGACTATATTCACAGCATTCAGGAAGTACAGGAAAAATAGATACTGAAATTCTTAGAAAGATAATAGTTTTTGGTAATTCAGCATGTAAACTTCTGAAGAAGATTGAGTTACAAAATTTCTAGAGATAACCTAATATGTTATCTCTCATTCTTACTCACTTAGAGGTTGTAAGCACAGAAACTAAATTTGTTCACTGCTTTACCATTTCAATTGCCCTTTTCAGCTTGCCCATATGTGATTCAAATAAGGGGAAATGAGAGAAGAAGAAATCCTGGAAATTTCTCTGGGCCTCTTCTTTCTCAGGAAGGGTGAAAATGATGCTGATGGCAATTTTCTTCCTTCGAATCAGTGCAGGATTGAGGCCACAGCTTTCATCTGCCATGCTGAACGTTTCTTCAATTGACCTATTGGAGAAGAAAGTTGCACTATATGTTCAGCTGCTAGCAAACGCCTTAAGTGTTTTAATTGATGCATAATAAGGTGATACACTCAAGAATTCCATTCAGTCAAACAGAACTGGGTCTTGATAAGCCATTATTTGTCTTAGACATGATTCATTCAATAAAGACTAATCAATAAAGAAAAATCATAAAGGCTAGGGTTCCACATATAGTAAGCCAAAACCAAACAAATCACAGAGTGAGCTTAGAGAAACATGAACCTAGCTGGAACTATCTCAGCCCTGTGAACATTTCAGTCAATTTCAACATTTCAGTTTATCTCATTTTCTTTTCAATATCCTTCACAAAAATGTATTTTCCTCTTCTTAAAAGCAGTGAAGAAATGGTAATCTGATCCCCATTCCTTGTCTAATGAATGGTCAATAAGGAAAAAAAGAATGGGGCACCTAGGACTGAAAGGACAGCTGATGCCACCTGCACTTATTCTGTAAATAAACAACCTTTCTTAAGATAGGAATACAATTTAGATGTTTAGACCAAGTTCAGAAACAAAGGAGGATATTTTTTCCCTTTCATTTTTTTAGAAGACTTACCTGTTAGCTCATACAAACTATTAGTTATTATCCTGAGATTACAAAAAAGCATTTTATAGCAAAAATCATTTTATTGATTTTATTTTATTATGATTGCCCTGATGTCTGTACTGAGTGTAGATAAAAATCATTTTAATACTTTTGCAATATATATAATTGAATATATAATTATAATACCGAAACCAATGAGACTATACAGTACATATTGAAATGACTGGTATTATTAAAAAATACAGTGTAATCACAATTTACTAAGACCATCAGCATACTATGATTTCCTTAAGGCCCTAATACTAAAACATTACTGCATTTTATATTTTTATGGAGAGGTATGTCTACCAAATTCCTCTCAACCAGTTATTCAGTATTTTGTGTGTTTGAGAGACTTACTAAAATAATCAATCCCATAGATTACTACCCTTTTCTTCTCTTTCATTAGGGATGAATGACACAACAATAAACCTGAAAATAATATCAAGAGACTATGAGCAGCTCTGCAAGAAAGTTAAGTATTAGGAGCACAAGTGGTGTTTTCATCTCTACTTCTAACAAAAGGTCAACATCAATGAGGTAATAAAGAATTTTAGAAACAAACCACTGGCTTAAGGGATGGTGCCACCAAAAGAATTTTGGATTCCTAGACCATGGTCTGCATTACCTACATAAAGGATTTCTAGCAAGAGATGGGTTGCACCTCACCAGAACCGGAAAGAATGTATTTGGAAAACTACTGGCTCAGCTTATCTGAAGGGTTTTAAACTAAATCTGAGGGGGGAGGGTGACTAATGTTTGGGATCTTTAGAACCTAATCCCAAACATAAATCCCCAGAGAACCAATCAAACAAGGAAGTAGTGAGTGATGGGAAGGGAGAAAAACTCAGATATAAAACAGGAGATGTAGGAAGCATACCCAGGGTCAGCCATAAAGGACTCAGATGCCTATACACAAATGCTCAAAGTCTGAGGAACAAATAGGGTGAATTTGAAATACTGGTACATGAGGGCAGGTATAGTATACTGTAGTTGCCATTATCGAAACTTGATGGGATGATATGACTGGAATGTACTGCTGGAAAGATATAAACTGTTCAAAAGAGACAGACCTAACAAATGAAGAGAGGGAGTTGCATTATATGTAAAAGATCACTATACAATTACAGAAATGCATAAAACCAAGGAGGAAAGCCTTTTTGAATGCATATGGGTTAATGTAAAAGGAAAAAAGAATGACATTGCCATAGGTGTATACTATAGGCCACCCAAACAAGCAGAAGAAATAGATGAACTTTTTGCTAATCAGTTAACAAATGTATGTAGGAAACCTACCACAGTAGTAATGGGGGACTTTAGCTACCCTGACATCAACTGCGAGATAAACTCTGCATCAAGTGGGAGATCAAACATGTTCCTTATGATCATAGCTGACAATGTTGTTATCCAAAAGGTAGAAGAGAACTAGAGGGTTAGCTATACTGGACTTAATTCTTACTAAAGAGAAGAAATGATAGAAGGAGTTGAAGTTGCAGGAACTTTGGAGGATAGTGACCATGTCACATTGGACTTCAATATAATGCAGACATAACAATAATCAAACTAGTGTTTTAGACTTTTAAAAAGCTGATTTCAATAAACTTATAGAGAGCTTGGGAAGGATTCAATATATGAAAATCTTAAAGGGGAGAACAACTAAAGAAACTTGGAAAACTCTGAAAAATATTATTATAAAAGCGCAATCCAGCACAATTCTTCTGAAAAAGAAATATAGGAAATCCAAGAAGAAATCAGGATGATTGCACAAAGAACTATCTGATAAATTGAAAGACAAAAAGGATAAGTATAAAAAATGGAAAGAGGGACACATTACTAAGGCAGAATACTAGCATACAGCATATAGTCCGAATTTGCAAAGATGGAGTCAGGAAAGCTAAGGCTCAGAGTGAACTGACTTGCAATAAATGTCAAAAATAATAAAAAGTTTCTTTCAACGTAAAAAAACAAAAAGTCAAGGAAATAATTGGTCCACTAATGGGAGAAGATGGCAAGAAACTGATGAGCATCAGGGAGAAAGCACTGCTGCTTAATTCGTTCTTTGCATCTGTCTTCACACAAAGCAAAAATAGCCCAACCTACCAAAAATAGAACCGTAAAATGCAGACTAGGTATACAAATTAAAATAGGCAAGAAAATAGTAAGAGAACACCTGTCTACTTTAGACAAGTTCAAATCACCAGAATCAGATGGATTACATCCCAGAGTTCTAAAGGAGCTGGCAGACATGATCTCAGAATGACTGAACCCTATCTTTCAAACATCATGCAGCACAGAGGAACTAACAGAGGACTGGAAAAGAGCTGATGTAGTTCCCATCCTCAAAAAAAAAAAGGGGGGGAACAGATCCAGGAAACTACAGACCAATCAGCCTGACATCAATACTTGGGAAGATCCTGAAAAGATAATCAAGCAACAGATCTGCAAAAAACTAGAAGCAAGCAAAGTTATAACCAGAAGCTAACATGGGTTTGTCAAAAATAGATTATGCCAAATAAATCTTATTTCATTCTTTGACAAAATGACTAAATTTGTGGATCAGAGAAATACTGTGGACATAGTATATTGGATTTCGTAAAGCATTTGACAAAGTAGACAACACCTTGAAAAATGTGGGATAGACAGCAACATCACTAAATGGATTTGTAACCGGTTGACAAATCACACTCAACGGTACTATATTTACATGGAGGGAAGTAAGCAGTGGGTACCACAAGGCTCCGTCTTAGGCCCAGTACTCTTCAATATCTTCATAAATGACTTAGATGAGGGAATAGAAGGGGAACTAATTAAATTTGCAGATGACACTAAACTGGCAGGAATAGCCAATACCCCAGAAGATAAGCTCAAGTTGCAGAAGGATCTCAACAGACTTGACCACTAGGCCCTATCTAACAAAATGAAATTCAATTGAGAGGAAAGTAAGGTTTTACATTTAGACAAAAAAACTTCCAAATATACAGGTACAGAATAGGTGAAACTTAACTCAATAGCAGTAACTATGAGAGGGATCTTGGAGTTCTAATGGACAATCACTTAAATATGAGCCAGTAGTGTACTACAGCAGCCAAAAAAGCCAATGCAATCCTAGGCTGCATTAACAGAGGGATAGAATCAAGATCATGTGAAGTGTTAGTACCACTTTATAACGCCTTAGTAAGACCACATTTGGAATACTACATCCAGTTTTGATCACCACAATATAAAAAAAGATGTTGAGATTCTGGAAAGAGTGCAGAGAAGAACAACAAAGATGATTAGGGGGTGAAGGCTAAAACATATGAAGAAAAGGTTGCAGGAATTGGCTATGTCTAATCTAGTAAAAAAAAAAAAGATAGAGATGACAAGATAGCAGTGTTCCAATATTTGAGGAGCTGCCACAAAGAGAGGGTCAATCTATTTTCCAAAGCACCTGAAGACAGGACAAGAAATAATGGATGGAAACTAATCAAGGAGAGAAGCAACCTGGAATTAAGGAGAAACTTCCTAACAGTGACAAGGTTACCCAGTGGAACAGTTTGCCTCCAGAAGTTGTGGGTCTTCCACCATTGGAGGCTTTTAAGAAGAGAGTGGACAGCCACTTGTCTGGAATGGCATAGGGTCTCCTATTTGAGCAGGGTGTTGGACTAAAAGACCTCCAAGGTCCCTTCCAACTCTGCTATTCTGCTATGTTAATCAGAAATTCCTGATGGGATGATAAAAACAGAGATAAGACTCTTAAGCTTTGAATAAGGGATTTGAAATAAATTGATCTAAAATGAACACAATTCTAGCTGAACAAGTGAAATGACTACAGAGAATATTGGCAATATCACCCCATTTTAATTAAGTTATTTTTTGTTGAGTTTTTCCACTAACTCATAGAAGATTCCAAGATAGTGTTTGCATCTCAATACATGATTCAACTAATGACAGGCTAACATATTTCAAATGAGGGTTGAGTTTACCAGGAATATAATAGCAGAAACTTCATAGCAATTGGGTGTTAATAATTACACATGAAGCATATGAAGCACATTTCACTAAATGTGGAGGTTTCTTCTAATATTCAGGAAGCAATTAGTGGTATTTCTTCCCATTAGATTATTCATAGAGCTATAGGGTTGGAAAATAGATCTTTAGAGGTCTTGTAATCTAATTACCTGCTAGAATCTCATTGCATCCCAGACAAATGACTGTTCAACCTTTTCTTAAAAACCTTCAGTGATGGAGCATCCACGGTTCCAGGATGGAGACTATAGCTCTTATGACTAGCAAGTCTGAATCCTCTTCTACAAAGCTCCACCCAAGTTGATGGTTTGTTAACTTCTTATGTATTGCATTCCTTATTTATCTTGAAACCCGGCTAATTTCCACTGTGTCAGTTAAGCATTACTAATTAGTTCAAGGCAGAACAATTTACTAGGTCACTTAAAGTTCTATTAATTAAAAGGTTCTGTTATTTATTGCACCCACTCAAGTATCTTTATAACCAGAGCCTTTCAATCACTGTCAACATATTTATTTGTAGCATCTTGTGCTCAGAGGTTCAGTAACCCTAAATCTGGATAGTGAGAAAACTTGCTGAAAGACCAAAAAGCACTGACCCTATCTTGTTTAAATGGAGCTCTTCTGTTACCAAGTAGTGCAATTCCTTAACAACAGAAAGGCAGCTTTACACTACTGAACTATGGTCCTTTGCCATAAACAAGATGAACATAAAATTTTCATCCTTTCTTCTGCCCCTCCCTTCTTCCAGGGTGGATGGCTCTTTAGAGTATTTTTGCATATTTTAGCCAATATATGTGAACTTTCATGTAAACCCATTTAATTAGAGACATGAAAAGGAAAATTAAAAGTATGGTAACTATTGTGCTGGTTTATATCAGTCCAACATTGAGACCTATTTATTTTTTTTAGACTGCAAATATAAACTACATACATCTGTATTACAAGAAGAATGTTTATGTTAACCTACCTTCTAGGTGTAGGTGTAATGCCATTTTCCAAGCTTGTGGTTTGACTTCGAAGCCAGCGGCGCTGGTAACTAGAGGAGGAGCTAGGAGATGGTAATGGAGTCATCAAAAGACTACTCAGAGATGCTGTCAACAAAGCAAAAATGTCAGTAATTTTGTCAGAATGTAATTTCTTCTGAACTTGAAGGTGGCCGAGCCATGTTTCTATTATAGATAGCCAATAGAATTTTTATTTTATAGACTGAACATAAGAGATAGAAAGAGAGAATTGAATACTTATCTATAAAGGCAGTTCTTTATGTGGATCCTGTGAATTTATGCATATAAATTAGGCAACATGGATTAAACATTCAGGAAATATAGCAATAGTTTCTGAAAAAAATGAAGGTCTATTAAAGAAAATAGCCAATATTATTTCCTGATGTAAATGAAAACTAGGGATTGACCTGGGAAGGGAGGAAATATTTTTGCTGAAGGAGAGATATCTCTTGACATAGCACTGAAGCTATCTTAGAATCTAGCAAGCAGATAGGTGTAGCTTAGACCAAAATTCAAAGCAGTAACTTTAGAAAACATCAAAAAGAATCCAGAGGTTATAGAAGACCATATACCTTGAAAACAATAGAGTAGGACCTGAACTATTGGTTTGGGGAGCATATCAAGGACAACAATGCTGCCCTGAAAACAGCAATGGAAATAGGGCAGAAAACCCTTTCCATTTCAAATACACACACCTGATGTATTTGTTGAACTGAAACCACAAGTAGTTCTGAAATGAAGCACAACAGCTACAGACTTCAAGTGCAGTCTGTTGAGTAAAAGTTATGAACCCTATCCAGTCTTATTGCTAAACAAAATATCCTCGCAAAAGGATATTAATCTTAGCTTCTTGAAAAACCAGTAGTACAGAACCATATGTGGTGAAGCAAGTTAATGGAGAAATTGTAACTTTAGGTACTGAACTAGCTGCTGAACTAGAAATAAGTTGTTTCTATCTGAAAGATGTCCTCTGGTAAATGAAAGAGAGAAGCCTTCTCCTAGAAAGAAAGACTGATAGTGAGCTCCTGAAGAATGAAGTTCATATCCAAGTGTCTAATCTGCAACTCTATGTGCTGATTCAGAGTACTGTTGATGATGAGAACCAGATTGTGATGTTTCAGTTATAATAGTGTTCCAGGCTTGGTGCTGAAATAACAGAGATATTCCTCTTCTTTTACTCTATGTCTCTCAATGCAATAAGAAGTTAATAGCACCCAGCCTTTTCTTTGTGGGTGGAGAGGATTTTGATCAGTATTTAAAAAAAGCAAATACTGTAAGTCTCATAGCAGTCCTGGAATATAATCTCAAATTTAGAATTAGAGAGCTACAATGGCTTTAAAGACAGCTGTCTTTAGAGCTTGTTGCCAGAATGGTTTGCAAACAGGAAGAATGGCTAGAGCAAGTCTGCTTCATAAATGGCTAAATGGCACATTCAGAAATTAAAATTTGTTCCTACAAGGTAGGCATTTGCAAATGGGACTCTTTAAGATCCAGGGTGAAGGCCCAATTCCTGCAACAAGGGGAAAAAACACGACTCCTTGCAGATCCAGAAATCTTAATAACAACAGAAATGATTATAAAAGGAAAAGGAATAGTAGCCACAAGAGATCTAATATTAAAAGAAAGAAAGAAATGGAAATAAGAGAATCATGACCATGTAATTCTGGGAACTAGAGTAAATGAGTAACAATTAAACCTATATGCATTGCAGCAAGAAGGGAAGATTACTATAAATAACAACGTAAAGTCTCATTTTGTCTTATGTTGCCAATATTCTAATATGCTTATAGCACTAAGAACCTGAAGGTGGCATAATGATGACATTTACATTTATCTTAAAATCAATAAACTGTGAATAGTAGAAAATCAAGACTGGCAAGTCTCAACAATGAGCTTGGAAAATATCTAACAGCGGACATCACACACAAAAAAAGATCAAGATACTTTTTGATCTATACTAACAACAAAGTGACAAGCAAGTAATTCCTATTTCTAAATACACTATCAGTATTCAAAGGAAGAATGTATGAATTTCATCTCAAAATTAAATCTGAATCTACTGAGTGATATTTCATTACAGTATTTGATTACACTTCTGAAAGGAACAAAGAAAAGGATAACCACCTGATCGAGCAATGCCACTGTCTCTGTCTTCATTTTGACCTCTACTCGGCATGTCAACAGGAGTGCTGTGTGCTGAATTAAAAATATCAAAGTTAAAGCATATATCCAAGTTATCTTTTCAAAAGGTAAATCCTACTAGCAGTTGGATTCAAAAGTACTATTTTTAAAGCTCCAGAACTTTAAAATAAAATAGATAGGACTGGTCTATTAAGTAGCAAATAATATACTGAAACTAATTTACAACAGTAGGAAGTGTCATTTGAAATATCACATTTATTATGTTCACAGGGTTGAAGTGAGAAGTTCTTTGTGCTTGGTTGTTTGCTTGCAGATGTTTCATTACCCGACTAGGTAACATAATCAGTGCTAGTGGGCGTGGGAGTAGCTCCTTGTTTATGTTTATCTACACTGGCAGGGCAAGCTATTGTATATAGAAAATTAGTCTATAGGTTTGTAAGTCTTGATACTCAGAAAGCATCAAAGGCTCCAGAGAATTACTAATTTCAATGCCTATGCTGCCTCAAAGTTCTGTGAAGTAATAAGGGGGTGTTCACTACCAGTGAATTTCAAATTTCAAAATTGCTTTGACAGTGTAATCCATGAAAATTGCAAATACAAGGGTCCCCTAGATATATTTTCATGGAACGAACCTTAAGCATGGGAACCTGGCTACTAGTCATGGTAGCAATATATTGCCTTTAGGTTTCTCTCACAATAGATAAGACAGTGCACTTACTGTATGTTATCCACAGAGTCTACACTTTGATATTTGTGGTTAGCTACTGGAAGGGTAGTCTTTGGTTTGATCCAGCAAAACTAAAAGATGTATCTTCCTCATCATCAACCACATTTTAGAAAAACAAATGCTGGCCACTTTCAGGATTTACAAAGTTTCTAAAAGTTCATAGTTAGAATCAATTACTTTGTTCAATTTATCAATTTATCTGCATGGAATACTGTTTAGAAGGAATATGTCACTTTACACTGTTCTACAAATGCTTTAATGTGGTGTTTTTAATAAATTCTCTAGAAATTCTCACATTTTAACAAAAGTTGCAAGGTTGAAAAATATAATTAAAATTGAAAACAAATTCTTAGGGCATTATAGCACTTAGCAGAATTAAGATATTTATTGAAGCAAAGCCTTTCATGTATGGGTTCACATATAACCTTTTATTTATAAACTACAAAAATGTACATGTTTAGGGAAAATTATTTAAATTAAATCCAACATTTTAGATACTATAGAATGTTAGCACATTTGCACTCTGTAATTATCTATTTTCAAAAAGCTTCTGGTTTAATAATCAATGTTAGCAGAGCAGCAAGTTGCAACACCACATGAAATAAATAAATAAATATAAATTGATATTAAAGAGATTACTAGATTTAGAGAGCATATAAGATTTGTGATCTTTCTAAGATTAAGTCACACACTTTTATAATTTGTCCACTTCCAAAATATTATTCCTTTATTAAATTCATTTGAGCTCATTGGGTGATTTTTTTAGTTGAAGCAAGGAAGTGGGAATCACAGAAAAAGTGTGGCAAATAAATACGCTAGTATTTATTGTATGTGCAAGAAAGAATAACTTCAAAAAAATAACCTGGAAAAAACAATTCTCAAAACTGGAAAAACACAATTTTTAGCATCAGATAAGTGCTATTTCACTGAAAAATACTATTGATGAAGGAATTCAATTAATGTAGCCCAATATTTTAAGATGTCTATCATTAGAGGCAGCTTTTGCAATTTTATTCAATAATAAAAATGAGGACCAATTGTGTCATTCTACTTATAGAGTTATTGATCCCACGGGAACAGATATTACAGCATCTCAAAGTGTAGATAGGTACATCATGCTGTACTCAACATTGCACACAAACCTGCAAAGAAAGCACTCCGGATGAGCCAAAAAGCCCCTCCTTCAAGTATACCATGAAGCAACATGGTGCTACATGGTGGTAACACACCTGAAGTGGGCAATATGAGAAATATACAGTTAAAGAATCAGAGAAGCCTGAAATGTGAAGAACCAACCAAAGGATATGATCTATGCAGTTACCCCTGCACATCAGCTAATTTTAATTTGATATATTTACCTAGAGTACTTCCATTCTGACACTGGCCCAAGCCATTTGAATGCAAATTCAGCCTTGATTGATCTTGACCGATGTATTCAAAACTACCTTGCAAGCTTGAAAAAGAAAAGGCCATTCAAGAAAGGTATTAAACTTTCAACAAAACTTAAATTGCTAAAGAGAATTTTTCACTACTAATATTAATTATAAAAATTGATGATTTTGCAAGATTTCTACTTTATTACCTTCAGGTAATCTATAAATTTTCTTTTATATGAAAAATGGAAATAAAAATTAAGCAATTGCATCAATTATATGCAAAAGTCTCTTAACGGTAATCAAACTTAGTATTCTCACTTGTAAAACATTCTCTATTGTAAAACATGGGCTAAATCCTCTCAGTGTATTATTGAGCCACATGGAGTGGCATTGTTGCTTGATGGAAATTAAAAAAAACTACCTAAGCAAAGAATGCAGTGATTGATTTTGGCTCTATCACAGCCATATAAATATGCCAAAGTTACATCTTTTTCCCCCTACCTGTTTCTTTTGGATTCAGCTGACCTAATTATATTTTTGTTTCTCTTATCTGAGGGAACTATAATGGAAAATAAATTCTCACAGTCATGTTGCATTAGAATAGCCTATTTCTCAAATAATATTAGAAAATGTTGTGATAAGCAGTATTCCCTAAGTTATCAAGCTATGAGGCAAGAAGCTTAAAGTGCACAAGAATAATGTAAGTAGCTTTGTTGATACAATCCACAACTTTAACCTTTAAAGCAACAGAACACAAAACTATTCCAATCATTAATTGTTGAAGTTACAGCAAAAAATCTTCCAGTGGACAATGCTAGTACCGGTATGCATCTCAAATCCTATGCCTGGAACCAATTATATTATTCCTAGACAACACAACATTTCTGTCAGGCAAAAGGACAGGTTTCCTCTTGGTGTATTTCTCAGGAGGCAGAGAGAAACAGTGGCAGCCCCTGTCTCTTTCTTCCTGAAGCTCTCCTTCTCCTGAAGTTCAATTTGCTGCAGTCATGAGTCAAGAGTAGATTGTTTCTTCTTTCAGACTGTTTCATGCCGCTCCACACACAGAGAAAGGATCTGCTTCTTTCTCTCTATAAAAACACAATCTGTCTGAGGTGAGGATTCATAAGAAAGCCTCAGCAGGATGGCCATATCTGGGCAACATATGAGATTTTAAAGGAGAACAGTTCAAAGGTGTACGAAAACCATCAATTAAAATTAGGAAGAGTTCGCACTATGTGGGAGAATGAAAATATGTCCGCCCAGTCTCTCCCCCTCTTCACGTCCTTGTCTTCCAATGACTCCTACTACTTTGCAAGGCGAGTCTGTGATGAGGGGGAGATTTAGAATTCTGATGACAGGATTCTAGGCTGAATGGGGATTTGCAGCCGGGCAGAAAAATTCTACAGCATTTACTGTTATCCACTCTCAGATAATTTGTTGAATAATACTCTGTATTTTTTAAGGATGAAAATATTAAAGAAATTTTAATGTGTTGAACATAGGTAGTCCTCAATTTACAACAGTTCATTTAGTGATGGTTCAAAGTTACTGTAACAAAGGCACTGTGACATGACCATTTTTCATGCTGAAAACCATTGCAGCATCCCCATGGTCATGTGATCAAAATTCGGATTCGTGGCAATTGATTCATATTTATGACTGTTGCAATGTCCTGGGGTCACATGATCACCTTTTGCGACCTTTTTACAAGCAAAGTCAATGGGGAAGCAAGCAAGTTCGTAAAATGGGCCAAAATTCACTTAACAAATGTTTTGCCTAGCAACAGAAATTTGGGGCTCAATTGTGGTCATAAGTCGAGGATACCTGTGCAGTGTATTTGGACATGTTTTGCAACTTGGCAAGAAAAATTTTGCCTTTCCTGGAATTTTAAAGTTTAAATTATTACATTTTAAAATTTATACTAATTCAATTGTTTAGTTTAACCCCTCTTTTCTTTTGTTCCTTAGCTTAGCATTCTGTTTCAATGTTGTTTTTAGCCAAAGCTTTTTGTATGTGCTTTGTTTAACTATTCTAATCTTGTAAATTCAGCTTTGGATATTTGCATATCTATTTCCTTTGTGCTGGTTAATGAACACAGTAAAGTCTTGCAATTTTATTCTTTCACTGGGCAATCTCTTCATCAATGTATAGCTGCTTTAATTTACCACATTCCATAATGACATAGTGAATGGTTAATGTATTTATTTTAATTTATTTGATTCTGTGGCCAACTATAATATGGTAATTAGAAAAAATAACTAAATATACAAACCTATAAAAATATAAAAATATAAAAACTATCAATAAAACTACACTAAAATAAAAATTAACCATAGTCAGCAGCAGACTTGATCACTAGATGAGATTCAACGCAACCACTATAGAAGCTCTCACTATTATCAGACCCCTAGGCACAATGGAAACCATGACTTGGGGTCCTAAAGGCTAGGTGGATCAGGGTTAATGCAAGAGCTACACAATTCTTTTTAGGTAGGAATTTTTTCAGTTGTACTTTTTTGGTAGTGGAGTTATAGTATAGAGGATTTCAATCATTATGAAATTCCTTTCCCTGAAGAAAATTAGAAAAAATATCTACTTAATTTCTTTATCCACAAATTTGGTGAAGAATTTGAAAGTCCATTTCTCCTGACCCCATTGTCTACATATAAGGGGAAATATGATAAGAAAGGAGTATGAAATATGTTCAGCACCTTCAGTAATTTATAAAAATAATAAAGGTGGGATTAAAATAAATTAAAATAAAACATTTTGTTCCCTTCTGTAGATCTCTATATTCCAATGTATATTCCAATTCCAATCAAGTCAGTTAATATGTCATTTTAATCCTGGCCTAAATTTAGAGATTTTACATTATTACAAGTGTTATGGTTCTGCAGAGGAGTTTTGTTCTTCCTATATATTGTTGATCTTTATTCTTATAAACAAAATTACAGTCTACTTTATTACGAACTAGTTTTGACTGTTACTTTTACAAATAATATAAACTGAACTTCCAAAGATTTTTTCTTATAGTTAAGAATCTGAAATGAAACAGAAAATAAAGATCGCCTTACCTATTCGTACTTCCAAAGAAGCTGCCTACTCTAGCAGAAAACACTTTACTCATCATAAGTTGTGGAGGAGAGCTGAAAGGTTAAACAATGCCATGAGTCAATAATTCCAAATACAATTCCAACTCTCATATAATAACACGGAACTGGAGACACCAGCTCACCGTATGTAGTGAATTTTCAGTGTTGAGCCTTTGTAACTCATTGCTACTGAACCAAACATCATCTCACCCAGCATGTTGACATCAGAAGCAGGCCTGACATACTACAAATAAAGAAGACAAGGGGTATACATGTGTCTAATTACTTTCATAAACTGTCATATTCTAATTCTACATTAACTCAGCTTTACTCTACAAGCACATATTATTGCATTCCAGAAGAAGCAAATGCAAAGTGGAAGGATTTGCTGAAGACTCCCCGAGTTCTGCTGGATAGTCACCACCATTGGCAGATAAAGTAAGAAACATATCATATTCCATAACTATGAGCTTCATTTATTTAAGACTTTTTTTCTTTCTGATGGAATATATATACTTGTTGTCACATCGGAAATTAAGACATATATTTATGCAAAAATACATTTAATCTTTTATACTGCAATCCCAAATATAACAATTCATATATATTTTACTCCTGCACCCATGCAAATTATAAAGCTCTTTTTTGCTAATATGGCCTTCTGGCAATAGGTAGAAATTCAATGTAAAGATTAATTTTCAGTTCATGCAAATTGGATTTGTATACAGATTTCAGCTGAGACATTCAGGTTACCTGATATTTAGGAATATCTTCCTTGCCAGGTACTCTGCTGTTCACCGAAGGGCTATGGGGGTAAGCTGTGTTAATACCACTGTTTCTTTGGCAGCACCCACCATCTGTTTTTCCAGAGGTATCCTAAGGGATTGAATAAATACTAAAGATAAATCAGGTACCAAATTGTGTTGGGGAGGGGGAGGAGGATAATTAGAACATTTGAAATTTGAAAGAAACTTCTGCTTACTTATAATGGTTATGAGAGAATGACCTTAGGAAATGAGGAATGGGATACTGCTTAGGAAACAATTAGACAAGATAGAGGGGAGTCCCCAGTAGCTTAATGGTCAGAGAAAGAAACTTAGGAAAGATATGCCCTAATTGATCAGGTGGTTAAAAGTGGTAGCAGGATATTTGACTAGCAAGATTCTGTTAATGTAGCCTTAAAAGTACAATTAGAACACCTCGTTGTGTTTTCTGTCTTATGTACCTGGGAGGACTGACGTTACTCTTATAAATGATTGTCATACAAACCCTTGTCTATTCATTAGTCATGGCAGATATCATTAATAATAAAATGCCCACCTACAGAACAAGTGAAGTTGTAGTAATCAGTGCTCAGTCATTGCAGGGTGTAAATATGGCTGCCCACTGTCGCAGCATTTATTCTTTTATACAGTTTTACAAGCAGCAAAAGTTTAACATGGCATCAGCATAGTAACAGCATTTCTATTGGTGAAACCCCTTGCCAATCATTAAGAATATAGAAGCCAGAGGCCCAGAACAGGGAACAGTTGGCTGTAACATCCTGTTGGTGTAAGCTAGCTGATATCAGGCAGGTGAGGGCATTGTACCAGCCTGGGATATTTTCCCACATTGCCATGGTGATATGTAGGGAAGAGATAATGTAGAGAGAAAAAGCACGCAGGCGTTGGAAGAGCAGTTTTCTGCATACGGCCTCTACCTGGCCCCCACCTCTACATGAAGTCACTTTTTTTTAACCTCCCAAGCCACCCCCACCCCACCCCACTGATCAAGTGAAGTAACTTTCTGCTAACCACTTCAGTCCCCCAGGAATCTTTTCAATATCCAGCTTGCCTTTGTGTTTTCATGAGCAGGTGGGCCTGCTTTCAAACAAAGCACTGGAGTGCATATTTATTCTCTAAGAATGCACCTGGGACCATGTCTGAACCAGAAGAACTTCTATAAATAAAGATGCTACAAGTTGTTCTTTTGCAACATGCCACCTCCAAATGTGCTTTTTTAATAAAACGAACTTTAAAAAAATTAGTGAGGGGAATAGAAAGCCTAGTGGATACCAAGGTGTTCATTGACAGCCTAATATTGATAGGGATTTCAGAACATCAAATCCAACTTCTACAAGTACTAGTCACTTCAGCAGTATTTTGCCGAACGTACCAACTGTAAGGAACCACTTCAATCCACATCTTAAGAAAGCAGAACTCTTGGAAACGGTCTCTTCCAACAGGAACTTTTATTAAGAGAAATTGATAGCAGGCATGATAGACAGGATCTGAGGGATTTCCTTACAAATCGATGTTTTAAAGTGTCCCTAAGCAACCCCTACCCCACAGTTCTTCCGGGCGATTCAGACCGGCAGATTTCTAGGTGTTAAATCCAGGAAAAATAACATCAATCCGGCTCCGTTGGGCATGATCATTCAACAGCTCCTCACACCTTATTTTGATGATGGATAATTAAACCAGATCCCGGAGGCTGCATCTTTTCACCCCCCTTTTTCCTAGCTGGCCGGTAAGGAGGAGAAGTTCAGAGGGGCATAGGATAAAAGGCAAATGGTTACATTGTGATGGTTAGCAAATCCAAAAGCGAATAAGCAAAAGGTTACTTTGTAGTGAATAGAGGAAGTGAAAGTAATAAAACCCGCATGCATACCCCCCTCCCCCTTAGGAGTATGGCAAGATCCAGGAGAGGGTAAGAATTGGTTTTATATCAGAGAAGATAGATAGAAAGGAAATATAACTGGATTCTGACACCAACACTGAAAAATAAAAATGAGTTGCTTGCAATTTTTTCTTACCCAGAGTATATGAACTGGGCCTTGCTGAATTTAATATTGGTCAAACCAAGCACAGGTAGTCCTCGAGTTACGAATGGAATGGATTTGTAGGAGTGAATCTCATACCTTGAATGTGATCACTCCCATCCACTACCTTGAATGTGATCACTCCCATCCACTAATTTAATGCGTGGGCGAATGCACGGCTCGTTAAGTGAACATGAGGTATCTCAGGGTGGGGAATATCATGGGAGGCCTAGTGATGGAACAGGCCACCTGCTTCAGACAACCCAAGGCCATCCCCAACCCACTGAAATACCTAACTATCTCTCCACTGGGGTCCCCACAATTGCTCTACCCCCCCATCCTGCCGCGCTGGGTCACTTACCTTGTGAAGATGTGTCTCCTCTCCAGCCTGTTTCTTTGTCTGCTCCCGTGAGAACAGAGGAAGAGCAGGACGAGTGCACTCCACTCGGCTTCTCTGGCTCACCGAGCTGCCGCCCACTTCTGGAGTGGCAGGCAGTCTCGATGAGTCTCCTCCAAAGGCTTCCAGGCTCAGTGTGGAAAAGCGTTTCCACACTGAAGGGAGGTTTGGGGCAACAAAATCACATTGCTTCAAACCTCCTGTTGGTGTACAAACACTTTTCATGCAGAGCCTGGAAGCTTCTGGATGCCTGATCTTGCGGGAAGTCAGGCATCCATTCTCTGCAAAAGTGGATGAGTGCCTAAGCACAAGATCATGGCCCCCAGAAGCTTTCAGCCTCTGGCCAAAAAGTGTTTATCCTGGAAGATGCCTCTGCTGCCCAGAACAGACTTCGGAAGCCACATGGCTGCTATCCCCGACCTCCGTTCTGGGCAGCAGAGACATGGAGGAGGCATCAGACGCCCAGAACGGACCTCCGAAGCCACGCGGCTAACGCCCCCAACCCCCATGCAGCCACTGCGCCTGACCTCTGTTCTAGGCGGAAGAGGCATGGAGGCCTCTGATGACCTGAACAGACCTCCAGAGCCACATGGCCACTGCCCCCAACCTGTTCTGTCCCAACATCCACGAATACTGCTCAACCACTTACTCATGAGGAAAAGCCCCTTTGCATGGAAAAAGGCAGGACTTGATAAGATAAACCCCTTTTATTTTGACACAGCTTTTATGGAACAAAACTCCAACCAGTCCTTTAGCTGTTGAAACAAACGATCAGTCTCTGAGTTCTCAGCTGGAATGTTCAAGGTTTAAGTCACTCAAACACACAGAAATCCGAAAAACCTGAGGCAAGAAATCCAACGACAGTAGCACAAAGCTGTAGCATGAATGGTTGCCATTGGCAACCAGCCCCTCCCACGCCTCTCCTCTTTATAGTCCAGCTAGGGCGTGGTTTCTTAGAATCTTTTACTTTTCCTGAAGGACCGCCCCACTGCCCTCCACTGTCCTGCACGCCTTTCCTCCATGCGCATCCATGCATCTGGAACAGGCCCCAGCTGTTCCTCCTCTTCGCTCAGTTCAGGCCCCCAATCCAGCTGTCTCTCTGCTTGAGCATGAGTAGATGGGCCCGTTGTCACATCTAGCTCTGAGTCTTCATGCTCCTCAGAGCCTTCCACAGACTCCGATGTGACCCCAGGCAACCTTTCCCCCTCATCCGATTCATCTGACTTGGCTGCCGGATCTGCTGCCAGGCAAGGACTCACAACACTATCCCTCACCACAGGACCTTCCCCCGTATCTGACGGGCCGGATGTGGCCATGAAGGGAATTGTTTTTGGAACACTGTCACCAAGGCAGGAGCATACATGTCCTCCCAAGTGAACTCCTCCATTCCATAGCCGTTCCACTCAATCAAATATTGGAATCGGCCTTCCAACCAACGGGAATCTCAAATACTGGCGACCTCATACTCAGGAGTGCTGTCTCTGTCCTGCTGTTCTGGTGGGGGACGTTCCGATTGGCGGAGCAGACACATTGGTTGTTCTGAGACCAAGAGGGAGCAAGATCGGATACACCCGTAACAAACGTGGCAATATTAACCGATAAGCAACCAGATTAATGATGGTTTCAATAGGGAAAGGGCCTAGGTACAGGTGGTCCAATTTCTTGGCAGGCCAGTCTGATGGAAGGTGCCTGGTTGACAGCCATACCCGATCTCCCATAGCTAACGCAGGTGTATCTCGCCATGACTGATTGCAACTTTATTGTAATCCACCTTGGCCTTATCTAATTGCTGTCACACCAATTGATGGATAGCCTGTAACTCAGTCAGATATTCGATAGCTCTGGGAACTGGCATGTCGAGCTGCGAGAAGGGAAAAAATCAGGGATGATACCCCACATTGGCCAGGAACGGTGTCATACATATGGAAATGTGCTGTGAATTGTTAAAAGCAAACTCGGCTACTGCAAGATAGTCTGCCCAATTGTCCTGTTGCTGATTCATGGAACAGCGCAAATATTGTTCTAGGATTCTGATTACTTTCTCGGTCTCGTCATCCGTTTGCGGATGATGCGCCAACAGGCAGATTTGTATGTCTAGGTCTTCATCAGCCCTTTCCAGAAACGGGCCTTAAATTGAACCCCTCTATCCGAAATGACTCTATCAGGGAAGCTGTGCAGCCAGAAAACATGCTGGATGAACATGCGAGTGGTGGTGCGGGCTGACAGCAAGCCACGGCAAGGAATGAAATGTGCCATCTTGGTCAGCATATCCACCAGCACAAACACCACTGTGAAGCCAGAAGACGGGGGCAAGTCTGTCAAGAAGTCTATGGACACTGCTCCCCAGTGTCTCTCGGGTGTTGATAAGGGCTGAAGTAGACCTGGTGGGGGCCCCGTTGCTGATTTGGCCTGCCTACACCATACATAAGACATGACGTAGGCCTGGACGTCATGCATACTCGGGGCCACCAGAATGTCTTGTAAAGACCAAAATGCCCCGCTGCAGGATTATGACATTGTTTGAGAATAAGTCCTCTGAGCGGCCCTGCTGAAACATAGAGCCAATCGCAATATTTCAGGAGTCCATCCATGACGGTCCATGGGGAGTCTAACCCCAACTCCTCCCTTCATTGAGCCACCCACGCGTTGTGCTGTTGTGCCTCCTGAATCTGATCCCATAAATCTAGTGGCTCCCAAACTGCAGAGAAAGACTCTACGGGCAGAACCGCCCTGGGCAGAAGCTTGTCTTCCGTACGGGAGTATTCTGGTTTCCTTGAAAGAGTATTCGCTCTTTGGTTGCGACCGCTTGGTATGAATGTAATGCGGAAATTGAAACTCACGAAGAAGATAAACCACCAAATCTGTTGTTGGTTCAATTTCCGGGCGGTCTGCTAACTTTCCAGATTCTTATGGTTTGTCCAGACTTCCAATTTGATGGTGAGCCCCTTCCAAATGATGTCTCCGGGCCTCAAACGCCACCTTAATGGCCAATAGCTCCTTCTCCCAGATGGTGTAGTTGCAGAGGCCTGGAGGCCTCCAATACCCAGAACGGACTCCAGAACCATGCAGCCACTGACCCTGACCTCCATTCTGGGTGGCAGAGGCATGGAGGAGGCCTCCAATGACCAGAATAGACGGCCGCTGCCCCCAACCTCCATTCTGGGCGGCAGAGGCCTGGAGGACAATGTCAGCCCCCATGTGCTCGCTGCCTCCTGTGCTGGCCACAACCACTCCCTGGGTTTATTTTTGGGGTAGGGCTTATATTAGGCACACCCTAAAAAACAGGCTAAGGCTTATTTTCTGGGTGGGTCTTATTTTCAGGGAAACACAGTAGAAGGCATTTTAAAGATTTGTATCAGAATAATATGATGTTGAAGAACAGAACTGAAATCCAGGCTATAAATGTACTGTTCAAGAAAAAATATAATGAAAAGAGAACCATAAAACAATTCTGAGATTTCAAAAAGGTAAAGTTTGAAGGTATACGTGGTATAACTGGAGAATACTTATGTTGTTTTGGAGTGGCTGTGAAACTTCTTTATCATAGTCATTTCCCCCCGACAATTGGAACAATACTATTATTGTTCCCTAATGTAAAAGTAGTAATAACAAGGCTGGATGCAAAAAACAGTAGGGGCATTTAATTTGTTAAATGTCTTAGGGAAATTGGTACAACTCTAATTTAAAAGGTACAATTTGAGAAATAAGAATGAATAATATTTGGGAATTTTGGCTTAATGCTAAGCAGATTGGGAATTCCAAATTTTGGATGGTCACTGAGATACATACAAATTTGCAAAAAAACCCACACCTACATTTGTAGATTTAGAGAAAGAGTCCAATACTATAAAAAAGCTTGAATCACGAAATATTTTGCTTGAATATGGTTGTTTGCTGAATGTGAGAAGACAATATATGATGGAAGTAAAACATGCATGATACTAAATGAAATGTTCAGTAAATAATTCACCATTGGAACAGGAAAAAGACAGAGATGTGTGATGTCTTCTTGGTGTTAGATATGTTAATAGGGTTGTGAATATGTTTGCCTTTTGTCTTGTCAGTGATGCCAAGGTTTTGATCAAGAACCTGAACGATTTATAGTGAATATTAGACAGATTATATTTTATTTTATTACAATTGAATATTAATGCATTTATACTATTAATAAAAGATATGCAGATGATACCACTTTAATGGCAGAAAGTGAAGAGGAATTAAAGAGCCTCTTGATGCGGGTAAAGAAGGAGGCTTGAAGTTGGCTTGAAACTCAACATTAAGAAAACCAAGATCATGGCATCTGGCCCTCTCAATTCCTGGCAAATAGATGGGAAAAAATGGAGGTAGTGACAGATTTTATCTTCCTGGGCTCCAAGATCACCACAGATGGGGACTGCAGCCAAGAAATTAAAAGATGCTTGCTCCTGGGGAGGAAAGCTATGGCAAATCTAGACAGCATACTAAAAAGCAGAGACATCACCCTGCCAACAAAAGTACATATAGTCAAGGCCATGGTTTTCCCAGTTGTAATGCACGGCTGTGAAAGTTGGACCATAAGAAAGGCTGAGCGTCAAAGAATTGAGGCCTTTGAACTATGGTGCTGGAGAAGACTCCTGCGAGTCCCCTGGACTGCAAGGCCATCAAACTGGTCAGTCCTAGAAGAGATTAACCCTGACTGCTCTTTAGAAGGCCAGATCCTGAAGTTGAAACTCAAGTACTTTGGCCACCTAATGAGAAGGAAGGACTCACTGGAGAAGAGACTAATGCTGGGAAAGAGAATGAGGTGGCTGGATGGAGTCACTGAAGCAGTAGGCGTGAGCTTAAATGGACTCCAGAAGATGGTAGAGGACAGGAAGGCCTGGAGGAACATTGTCCATGGGGTCGCGATGGGTCAGACATGACTTCGCAACTAACAACAACTATTAATAAAGCAAAACCTCTAGGAATAGCAATAGCACTTAAGACTTATATACCGCTTCACAGTACTTTAGTCTCTCTAAGCGTTTACAGAGTCATCCCAAACAATCTGGCTCCTTATTTTACCAATCTCGGAAGGATGGAAGGCTGAGTCAGCCTTGAGCTGGTGAGACTCGAACTGTCAAATTGCTGGCTGTTGGCAATTGGCAGAGTTAGCCTGCAATACTGTATTCTCACCACTGCACCACCATGGTTCATACAAGTTCTCTAACAAGAACTATGTACCACAAACTAAAGATAATATGATTTAATTTTAAGTTTGCTGTCAGTTTTTTAAAACATATACATACTTTAATTTATCTTTATTCTGTAACATTTTTTCTAATTCTACATTATTTGTTCTAATTTCATATTTAAGTTTTACTAAGGGCGGGTTTAATTTCTCTGATAAACGTTGATAGATCAGATACAATAAAAGATTACTTAAAATTGCAAAATAATTTTTATCATATAAAAAAATAATAAAAACTTACCTGAAACTGTTTCTCATCAGTCTTTCGGACAGCTGTAGAATCAAACAAGACTTGTCTGCCCCGTCTTTCACAATCTTGATACACTATCAAGCGGATTTCATTTAGATCAAACCCAGAACAGGACCAGCTATGAGTTTTTAGTACAAAAAAAAATGAAGAGAATTATGCAAGAAGTTTTTCCCCTAGCAAATCCATCAGTCTGCAGTGAAAAGAGTTACTCTAAGGAATGTGAATTCAGAGATCTAGTTAACAGTAGAGAAGAAGATAACACAACAATGCCATCAAATATTGCAAAGAAATTGCAAAAATATCCAAGAGTTACATCTCAGATGCTACAAGCCTCAGTTAGCATGTTAAATGTTGAAATTCATGACTGTACAATTAGAAAACGACTGAACAAGTATGGTTTGTTTGGAGGGTTGTCAGGAGAAAGCCTCTTCTCTCTAAAAAGAACATGGCAGCATGGCTTAGGTTTGCAAAGTTGCATTTTAACAAATCACAAGACTTCTGGAACACTTTCCTTTGGACTGACGAGACCAAAGTGAAGATGTTTTCCCATAATGCACAGTGTCACGTTTGGTATCAGCACAAACATCTCATACCAACTGTCAAGCACAGTAATGGAAGAATAATGATTTGGGCTTCTTTTGAAGCCACAGGACCTGGGCACCTTGGAGTCATTGAGTCAACCATGAACTCCTCTGTATACCAAAATATTCTAGAGTCAAATGTGAGGCCATTTGTCCAACAGCGAAAGATTGACCAACATTGGGTCGTGCAAGAGGATCCCAGCCACACCAGCAAATTTACCACAGAATGATTGAAAAAGAAAAGAATCAAGGTGTTTCAATGGCCCAGTCAAAGTCCAGACCTCAACCTGATTGAAATGCTGTGGCAGGTCCTCAACAGAGCTATGCATAAACGAATGCCCACAAACCTCAATGAACTGAAACAATGTGGTAAATAAGAGAGGGCCAAAATTTCTCCCCAACGATATGAGGGAGTTATAAAATCATACCAAAAAATTGATTACTTCAAGTTATTGCTGCTAAAGGTGGTTCTACATGCTATTGAATCATAAGGTACACTTAGTTTTTCACACATGGCTTCTCCATTTTGGTCTTTTTGTAAAATAAATGATAACATAGTGAAGTATGTCAAGTGTTGTTGTTCATCTGACGTATTTATGTACTTTTAAGAACTGCTAAGGACCAGATGGTCTTTTTCACATGACTGTACCTATATCAGACAAAGAGAATGTGCTACAGCATCTTCAATTCTTCATTGCAACTTGTATTTTATTCTATTTTGTAAGTATTTCTATTCCACTAAACAATGGTCATACAAAGAATTTAAAATAGGTATGCAATAATCATCTAGTTATTTTGAGTGAAAGCTACTAGAATTTCTGAGAGTTGCTAGATGATTTGAACGATAGAATCCTTAAACTAGTGATCAGGAATTATGTAAAACAATAAAAACACTACAGTTAGGTTACTTATTTAGAGCTTTCAAAATATCATTCAAAATATTTTATCATCATAGGATAATATATTTATTAGAACAATCTGTGAACAAAATGTGATTTACATTTTAATGCAGATTTAGCAAATCAACAACCTCTAAACCTGGAAATTTTAAAAACACATTCTTTGTTATTTCTGCTTTTGAATGTTTGTTCCTGAGCAAACAGTGAATATGTATAGATTTTCATACAAGCAAACACAAACTGATGCAGAAATGGAATGGAATAAATTAAAGATTAAAAAACATGCAACTGAATGCAATATATTCAACATAAATTGCACAATAATTTAATATTAAAAAAAACCTTTCAGTGCTGAAAAGAATAATCACAGATGATTGCCTAAAAAAGAACATGTGTGATAATAGAAATGCAAAAAAGTGAAACTGCCTCCCAGCCCACTCAAAGCCAGTTTTACATTAAGCTTTCATACCTTTTAGATAGTTCTCCAGTAAACCTCTTTGAAAATTTGGAACTCTTTTCTGCCACAACTGATTTAATTGCCTTATCCACTCTTGGTGTTGAAAAGCTATTCACTAGTGAAGTAGGGCAACAATGACTTGATTTCTGCGCCTGGTTGCCTGTACTGTTAGATGATTTTGATGTACCTCCACACATTTTCAATTCACAGACATGCTGTTATAGGCATGATTTCTTCAAAATAACGATTTTATATTTAAGTATCCACAGAGATTACTGTGTAATAAGCTACTGATGAAAGAAATGTCAGACAAAAATTGGCTAGCACTGATTTGGCCTTTTTAAGAAAAAAAAATCACAGCTGAATATCTTCTGCAGTCAGTATTACTTCTTTAGATAAAATTTAACCATTTACTATTAAAAGTTATAGCAATAACTTCTTTAAAAACATAGAATAACTTGCTTGTTCTTATAAATGCTGCCAGTTTTCTTGCTAGCAAAGAAGAACTCTGATAGTCATGCTTCCTGGTTTGTTTCTGTAACTAGCAATTATTATTTGATCACAAGACCTAACCAGATGGCCTTCAACAGAAAGGTAGCTGCTTTCTCACTGACTCTTCAGTTGCAAACTTGTTTTAAAACAGGAGGCAACACCCTCTTAATGGTCTCATGTGAGCAAATGTCATCTGACAGCTCTTAGCAACCTTGTGTCTCAGCACCATCTCTTCAAGGTAAACAGGAACCTGCCACCAATGCTACAGGTTATCTGTAAGAAATGATTAACACAAAAAAGAGACCTTCTGCCGTATTCAGACTTTTAGCTCTAATGCGATTAACATTAGCAACTTGTTTACTATCAGTAACAAAGAACAATCTGAATACAGTAAGAAGAACTCAAAAATTGTTCTGTTTCATTTTATTAGTTCTGAAGAGGTGTAAGGAAAGACTAACCATTTACACTTAAATGATCTTAAAAACAAACGTTCAAGTAAACATGAGTTATGAAATTTAGAACAATTGCTCGTTTCTGGGTCACACATACACACATGAATGGAATGCAAATTAAAACACAAGGGTATTTGCAATGGGGGGAGTCCATTAGCTGGGAATGAGTACAAATGAAAAGCAGTGTGGCACTAACATGAGGCAAGCTCTGCCACCTTTGTACCTGTGGCATATCCTGTGTATGTACAAAAGAGAAGAGCCTGCATTGCAACAGGTCAATGTTGCTTTCATATTTTGATAAAAAGTGTTTGATTCTCCAAGTATCTATGTCAGCAATACATCAAAAATGTGAACAGATTTGTTCAGTAACTGCCTCTGCCCACCACAACTATAACACTGTTAATTGGTGAATAAGGACAGTCACAATGCTTTTGAAAAATAATTAAACATTTAATCTCAACAAAAAATATGACTTTCTGCACAATGCAAATCACAGTGTATACCAAAGTGTTATATTAGAATTAGCAACTGTCTTATTTAATGACCATTTGCAGTTGTGATGATGATGAAAAATAACTTTATTATCAGTCCTCACTAAACAGACTTTGTAAGTCTGTAAGACAAGAGAAAGCTGAAGTAAGATCATAAGCACAGACATGGTTTCACTTAGCAACTGTTTTGCTTAACGAAGTTGCTGGTCCTGATTATTGTTGCTAAATGAGAACTATCTGTATTTAGATGACCTGCATAACCATCCTACAAGACAGCTACTTTAAAACAAAAATTACTCCAAATAGGAAGAACCAACAAGTGCAGGAAAGCTACTGAAGAATATGCTAGTCCCAAACTATGTTATGATTAAGGCTATATGTGATATTCAAATGCACCCAACTAGTTTCTTCAAATACAGGTAAAATTAATTGCTAGCTTTGTGTTCTGTTCTAAGAATAAAAGTTGAGAATCTAGGGAGGATTCACCAAATGAAAGCTAAGTCTAAAGCTGAAAAACAAAGTACACTAGTTCAGCACATCACAGTACTGAGGGGAATAGATTAACAGCACGAGATCACAACAAGAAGGTCTAGGCCAGGGGTGTCAAACTCACAACGTCACGTGACGTGTGGCGACATATCGTGACTTTTTTTGCATTGCCGGCAATGGGGTGGGCGCAGTCTTGCCATGACGCATCCGGCCTGTGGGACGGCAATTTGACACCCCTGGTCTAGGCAATCAAGGAAAAGTTTGGACAAAGCTGCACACAAAAGAAGACTTCAGTTGTTAGCAACCCTGTAGTAGGCAAGTCTTTATGCTGACAGAGTTTTCCTAGAAACTCTACTGTTACTAACTCAATTAGAAAATGGAGAATTTGTTTATCTTGCAAGCCCTGTGTTTCAGGCATAGGTTATTTGCTCTCCTCTTCTCTGGCCCTGATACACTCCATTCATTCATTCTACCATGAATCCAGCAGTTTCTTTTCAACTCTTCTCAGATTCTTTATCATCTCATTTTCTCTGACATGAAAATGGTAATTTTAAACTCTGATTCCAAAATCTCTAATGGATGTTGAACAGTCTCTATAATATATGTATAAGTTGAATAAAAAAATACTGTGAGATAAATCAAATTCAATTTTACAATCTATAAGTTTGAAAAACTGCACCATCAGAAGTCAACTGATCTAAAATACTAATATTACAAGAGGCCGTTTACCTCCCAAATAGATTTATTGGCTTTTTTAAAACTGATGTTTATCTATAACATGAACATTTCATGAATAATGAGATAGATGATAGATGACTGGTAGGTAAGGAAACAGGGATGTTATAAAATAGATTCCATTGTCTGCCATGATTTTGATGGGGTCAAGTAGTAACTTTCAAGGTGAGCCCAGAAAGAATTTGAATTCTGAAATGTCTTGTCCTAATCAGTAACCTAAATTAAAATGAATTCTTAACTATTGGCTTGTAAGCATATAAATTTAAAGCAATTTTTCCAACAACTGTGGTGTATGCAATGAAAAACCTTTAATAATGCACATGGCATAGAATTATTTAACAATATATAAATTCACTAGAAATTATGTAAAATAATGTAAATTAGTTTTGAGGTTAAATAGTTAGTTGAAACAACTTTGTGGGAATAAAAATACCCCAAAATCAGAACCCAAACTATATTCCAAATACTTAAGCAAGTCCAAATTATTAGCAATTCTAGGAAGATCAAGTCTAATTCATTCCAATTTTTATTTATTCATTTATTAAACAGATTTATATACAATGAGGGAAAAAATTATTTGAACCCCTGATGATTTTGTACATTTGCCCACTGACAAAGAAATGATCAGTCTATACAGTGGCTGTCCAATTCACACACAGTGACAATTTATACAGTATTGTAACCTGAACTAATATGAAACTTTATCACTATCTCAAACAAGAATGTTTGTGAAAATGAATTTCTGGTTTATCTACAAAATATGTAGATGATACATTTTATAGATGCCTTCCTTAAAGCCCTTTAATATTTTCAGTATTCAAGAGTTTCTAAAGCTATGTTAAAAAGGAAAAACAGTAAATTTTGACATGTTTAAAAATATCAGTTCAACCAATGAGAAAGCATATTATTTGTAATTAAACATAATTCAAGGATAAAATAAAATATATTAATAGATATATTAAATGCTGGGAAAACCAATCAGGTTCCATATCAGAGACCTCCAAGAAGCTACATCAAAAGGATTCCAAATATTCTGAGTTAAAGCAAATTCATCAAATGAAAATATTTTATCCAGAATTTTGATGGCCTCATGTAAATTTAGTCTAAAAGTTGGAATCACTGTTCCATTATTATCTACCAATTGTTGGGTACTTATTAGTACCTACATTAATCAATGAAATTTCCCTATAAATTGGATACATTGTAGATCAAGTTTAGAAAGGACTGTAACTGAAACTGGGGAGGTAACTGGAAGAATCTTCAGTGGATAAACATAATAAAATAGGAGATAATATATATGAGCTAATCAACAAGGCTAGGAGATTTCCCCAATTTCATAATTCAATTGGTCATAATTTCTTGGAAAAGGAGGTGTTATGAGATTAATCATTTAGCCTTATGATTGCTGTAGTACACTCACTATTTTAAAAAAATCATCTGTGGATGAGCAACTGAGACAATACAATTTGGTATAATTTTTTTTAAAAAAACAATAGCAATAATAGATTTATAATCTGTACATAGTTTCCTAAACTTATCATGAATTAAGGATGCAGTATTATATTGATTTATCACAAATATACATGTTTACATATATTACATTTATAGAAATCATGTATTAGGGATGATATATTGTAAAAGTGCATCAGGCGAAGTGTGTATAACAATATTTACATAAATTGCATAGGATAGTTGTGAAAAATACTTAATATATATCTGTATAAGTGTAGTTTGGATTAAAAAACATGATTTACTGAGAAATTAGAAAGAACACTGTATTGTATTTTTGCATGCAATACTGACATGAAAACGATTTCCACAAATCTATCCATTGCTGCTTTCCCATACAAAACAGTCATATACAGATTTAAGGATTAGCACAACTTTCAGAAATATATATTTGTTAATATTAGTGTTTTAAGTCTGCTGCATCAAAATTAATGTTTTGTTATACATAAGGACCAATCAATTTATTTCTATGTAAGAAATACGTAGTTGTTAACCTCAGTCCATGATATGTATCTGATAAAGTGAACTCTAAGGCACAAATGTTTTGGCAATACACCGGTCAGTTTTCAATCCTTAGAAACAGGCTATGAATTCTACAATTAATGAAAACAAATTTATATTTCACTATATATAAAAATTTTAGAACTATTTTGCTAATATTTTAAAGATTACACGGCTTCAATATAAAAGTTTCAATTTTTTCTTGTAAACATATGAAGATCTGGAGACACATAAAAGTGGTCTTCCTTGCCATAAGAGCACAGAGTATATAGTCACTGTGCCATTTGACTTTCTGCTTATTCTTCACGTTTCTATAGACACAATTTTTTTCAATAAAGCAGATGCCAGCATCTGAGACAAATGAAGGACCCTGTTTCTTTCAGATGATTCCTCATTTCATATATATGGCCAGCTAAGCACAAAGTGCTCAGCAGAATGCATGTCAGGATATATCCAACTGAAAGTTTTTTGCCTGTCATTGAAACCTGGCTAGGTTTTGCCATTTTTGCTCTGACCCCCTCTTTTTTC